CAACCCTTCACATTCACACCTATGGACAATTTAGAGTTGAACCTAATGTGCATATTTTTGGGGAATGTGGGAGGAAGCTGGGGTATCAGGAAAAAACCAAATGAGCACAGGCACAACAGGTATACAGTACTCAACACAGGAAGGCCAGACGTTAAGGCTGACATGCTAACCATGATTCAACTCCGTTTCCCTCATTTGAACTATGTACATAATAAGACGGCATGTCTCAAGGCTGAAGCCATCAGTCTTGATGCCTGTTCCTGTCAGAAAGTTACAAGAAATATCCAATTCTTCAAACCATTCAAAAATGAAAAAGCTGCGCATCGATTAACGTGGGTGGTCTCTTCACTTACTGTGTGAAATCACATTGTTTAGAATTTTGACCAATTCAAAGACTGAAACTTCTGTGTCCTGTTAAATAAAAACAGTAATTCAATAATTGATCCACTTTCAAGATGATCAGGTTTCATTTAACATGTTACTGACTCTGCCAGCAATCTGCTTGAAGAGATACTTGAAATGAGGATCCAGATCACTTTCTGATAATTCCTCCAGCTATCACAAGACATGAAATGGAAGTTGATCGTTAATACTCGAAGTTTGAACACGTGTAACAGATTGTTGTGACACCATGTCATTCTTTGTTCAAAAGCACCAGTAGGTTACTCAATGTTATACAATGGCACACAGGTGTGTTCTTACTTCTTCTGTTTCAGCATCAATGTCCTCCTCCAATGGACTGAAATAGAAATTTAGCGGTTAATCAAGTTTTACATTCTTGTCTTTTTGAGTTCAGCCAACACCGTTTTTCGTGGATGTTATTTTTTTTCCCCCAAATGCGTTTCAATGGCCATCAGTTATACACAGATTTGACTATTCATGTTCTTTCGCTATCCCCACGAATAGCGCACGTCCACTGTATATTTTAAATTATGATGTCACCATTCTCTACGAGATTGCGGACATCGCTTATCTATGCCAGTGACAGGCAAAGATACAACTATGTTTTTTTAATGTTGTTTTTTGTTTTTAATAGTGTAATAGCTTTGTGTTTAATGAATTACAGTACTGCAGTTGCATATATCACAGAATACTGTGATATATGCATGATATAATAACCTCCAACTGGGCCCCAAAGCGGCTCCTAAAGCCGCAGCGACCCGTGTACCTGCAGACCCAGTTGTCGGCTGTTGACTGGAAACTGTTCGTAGCCCGAAGGCACGCCCAACACCGCTTGGAGGTCGTTCCCGAGTTGGGCAGATGTTGTTGCGGGGTTGCCATGACAAGTCAAAGCTGCCCGTCTTCTTCAGTCCTCTGACATTTGTCCACCAGATGGCAGTGTAACAGCGCTTTGGTAAGTCCGTTACCTGGTGGAAGCTCTTTTCTCAGAGAACACTCTGAGAACAAAAGCTGGCATTCTTGTGAAGTTAGAAGGTTGAGGGCACGATGACATACCGCTATTCGCCTGGAGGAAGTCTAAAGCGATCGCAAACTTCTCGGCTGTTAATGAAGGAGCTGCTCATGGCCACAGCTCTCTGACGCAACAGGACATCCGGGCCCAGGTGAGCATTGCTACGACCTTTGTACTTCACATTGACATAGAACACAATTGTTCTAATGATGAATTTGATTTTGGGCTCAAGACGAATCTCAACATGTTCTAATGTTTATAATCTTTAGTGTGATGTTAAAGACATACTATACCTCGTCTGGGACCTGGACAGAGGCAAAAGAATGTTAATATAATCACTCAAAATGTTTCATGTTTCAACTCCAAATTAATGCAATACTTCATAGATAGCAAAGCCAATTGTTTGAAGATTGCGATCGAGCCTCCGCTGCCTGCGTCTGTCTTTTTGCATCAGTCCCGCTAGAAAGGTGCATCCATCCTCCCCGTCCAAAGGATCATCGTCCACATCTCCCAGACGTACCACAAACTGAGGGTTGAATGCGAATGTCGCTGGAGCAAACATACAAAGGTAACACATCAAACGAAAATCCTTTTGCCACTTCGAAACATTGATGAATGTAATTTATGAATGTCTGGTCTTTGGCCCTCAGTGTACGAAAAAAAAATGAAAAGCTTCATTTTTCTTGACATTACCTAATGCTAAAACCTTTACTTCCTGTAAATATGAGACAACATGATATCACTTAATGAAAATTGCACTTTGAAATTGGTCCTACAGTGTACAAATACACTATTGCCTTATTTCACCTTCTGTGTGTGTGTGTGTGTGTGTGTGTGTGTGTGTGTGTGTGTGTGTGTGTGTGTGTGTGTGTGTGTGTGTGTGTGTGTGGGGTGATACCATCATGAAATTAGGGCCTCCTTGTGTTAAACCCTCCAGATTGTATGCTCAGTACCATATGGGCTGGAATGTTGGGTGCCTCAGTTTCATGAGACAGTGCTGATCTCAGTAAACAAGAAATAGAAATAAAATACAATTCTTGATCTGTGGGGTATTTTCACAAAAACGTGTCACACACTTGTTAGTAAGACACATTGGTACTGTTTTAAATTGTGAAAGAAAAACAAAGTATGATCTGGATTCATGGACCCCTCCTGATTTTTTGTTGTTGCTTTTTTTTGGGGGGGGGGCGGGGGGGATCAGTGGTTCACGACATCATGAAGCAGCATTCAATGTCCAGTACTTTGGGTTGCTCTCCATTTCAGATGAAGAAGTAAATACAATACTGTATGTCGAATATACAGTAAAAATTCACAGGACATGTGTTACCAGGGTGATTGCGGCAGCTGCCTGCAGTTGATCCGACTCGCCACATCCCTTCAAACTGATAGTGGTTCCAGTGGCCAATGTCGTCACTCTTGAGTGTATGAGGAGTCAAGTTACAAATCTCCAACTTGGTGAACTGTCTGATGAAGTCCAGGGTAAATGAGTTCTTTTCATTTTCATCTTTTTCTTTTATTGTTTATTTTTACTGACATAAAATGCATAAATATGTATATTTACCAGAACTCTCCATCCTCAGCCACATGATTGAGTTTAGATTTGTCTTCTTCACTGACATATTTCCATTCAGTGGAACTAAAGGCGATAAACAATCATTCTTGTGGGGAAAATGCAGACCACCCACCAATATCTGCATTAACACGTATGTGCGGGTGTACCTAATGAAGTGTCTGGTAAATGGACTGAAAAAAGCCTTTCTTGGAATGTAACTCTTAATGACAAATCGAAATAGTGTTAAGCATATTTCTTTCCTCTCACAGCAGCGAAATACAGTCCTAATTTTCTAAGTTTCTTTTCTACGGCTTCTTACTGTTGGCCTCTTCCAAACTACTCCTTTGGTCTTGGATGAGTATGGTCCCAATTCTTTGTAGCCCAGTGACTTGCACCCAGCCGGAAAGCAGTCGTCCTCAAACAGACGTCCCTTCTCCACACACTGCTGACGTAGATGCTCATAGTCCTGTTGGTGGAACTTCACAGCATACTGCTTGGTACCGACTCCACGCTTCCTTTCCTGCTGATGGGCCAGGCGACCTGCAGTGGAGGTCATCCTCACCTCTCAAGCGTGCAGCAATTTTCCAGGGATTTGCCTGTTTGTGAGTTGATCTTTCAGCTTGACGTGACCAAGACATGATCTGGCCTCTTTATGGCGAAGGGGTGGCGGTACTGCTCCAGTCAGAGAGGGGCTCCCACTGTGCAGGTGAGGCAAACAAAGCAGACAACAGACCAAAGCCAAATTTGTATGACCACAACTGGAAGGCAGACAGGGACCCACCTAAAGGTAAATTTAGGCAAGTATTACATTTCATTTATAATCTCCTACATCCATGTTCAAATAAAAACAAATGACTTGATCACGATTATTGAAGTCATTATTACACACTGGTTATGCACTGAGATTTTATCACACATAAAAATATGGTTTTAGGGGATTTTCTACTTGGAGCTAAAAGTTGTAATTTTCTCTATAATAAATTGATATAAAATTTCAAATCTCTAAATGACTTTGCGCCACCTTACCTCTCTGAGCTCATCCGCCCCTACACACCTGCCCGGTGCCTCAGGTCTGCGGACCAGACATTATTAGAAGTACCAAGAACTAAACTGAGACTCAGAGGGGATCGAGCCTTCTCCTTTGCCGGTCCCTCTCTCTGGAATGACCTCCCACTGAACATTTGGCAAGCCTCCTCGCTGCCCATCTTTAAAACCTGCCTCAAAACTCACTTGTATTCTTTGGTATTTGACTCAGCATGTTTGGTGCTCTCTATCGTCTTTGTTACTGATTTGTTGCTTTACTGTTGTATATTAGTTGCTCCATGTACAGCACTTTGTGTGCACCGATGGCTGTTTGAAAGTGCTCTATAAATACAGTTGAGTAATAGGGAGGCTTCAACACAAGTAATGAAGCTGAAGCAACAATTCTAAAGAAAAAGGAAGGGATACACTGTTAACGAAATTGCAACAGCAGGCTGCTTTGATTGTCTGGGCTCCATGGAAAAAAAATCCGTCCACTGACAGATTCATGTTTCATTGATGCTTCGGTGGCTATGGTCAGTTACGTGCCTGTATATTGTCCCACCTGCCTCTGGACGATCCTGTTTTGAGATGTTGATCCTAATTCCGCTTGTGCATCCTGAAAGCTAAGCACAACCCTTCAAGTTTAAAAGAATTTAATTTGCTAATCAGCAAAACTCCACATTTTTATTCGGAAATAAAAATGGAAGTGATTTTGAACGAATAGAGAGCACATTAACATCATGTCGGTTATTTCAAATCAACGTTTTGTGGTCCTTCTCAGGTGCGCAAAACTGTCTGTGTTGTGAGGACAAAGAGTGTACTACTAATATGGACCTCAAATTGGATATCGAAGTACATTAACGGATTTCCGTGGGGGTGGGAGTTGGTTTGGTTCCGTGTTCCCACTATCGTATGTTCGTTACAATGTTGTCTGATCAACGGATCTCCGGAGCCCAAACGCACACACCTACACGTTAAACTAGCGCCCCAAGTGGTAGCTCGTCCGTGGCGCAGTGTATGTTTGCGTGTGTGTGACGTGGCCCCTCCTAATGCAGTGCCGGTGTGTGTCTGTATAGGGCTGGACCTCCCCTTCTGGCTTCGGAACCGCTAGTCTTCACTTCCCCTTTTACAGGCTTAGCGTTACTCGACTCCCACAGAGGAGACCGCGATTCGTTTGTAAAGGCGGTGGTGAGTGTTTTTCTTTTTTGTTTTGTTTTGGTCATTGTTCTTTTGTTGTCATATAACTGTGTGCATGTATTTTTGGTATGCGGCTAACGGTTCGCATGCCTCGCTCATATGGGTGGTGGGGGGGGGGGGTGTAATACAGTGCAGCTGCGACTACTTTGAAGACCGATATGAGATGGCACATTCAAGCTCGAATAGTGACGTCACTTTTTGTGCTATTGTGTGTTTTTAAGACCGTTTTAATTACTGTGGGGCCGGCACACAACGGGCCTTGTGAACAGGTGCTCATGACAACAATCCGGGGCCTAACATGCCTGGCATACTAGATGCTTTTTGAAACACAGCGAGCCTGTGAATGCATTGCCACAATGCTGCAAATGAGAGTGGGTAACACAATTATTGTGACTTCCTGGACAGCATTTAACAACGGTTGAGGCACTCTGATGACATCACTTACCACAGAACTGCTTTGATCAGCTATTTGCTTGCAACTGTGGATTGGAGGAGTTCTAGAGTTCATCATTAGCCAGAGTAGAGCCACAAGAACATTCCTGCAGCAGAATGGAAGGGCAACAGCATGAGGGGGGTGCAGCCCGGGGTTGCTTCTCTTGTCTCTACTGTACACTGCCAAACCTGTTCTTAAAAACAAAAACAGGATTTATTTTAAATTTTTATTTTTCTCCAAAATCAGAAATATATTATTAAATTTTGGCAACATCATTTGCCACTAGAACAGGAAATTAACAGTTCTGACAATGAGGGTTTGAATCTGGACTCTGACCTTCCGATCCAAAAATATGCATGTTAGGTTCATTGCAGACTATATTGTCCATTGATGTGAGTGTGAATGGATTGTACTTCCTCATGCTCATTCATTTAGGATGGGCGTCAGCTCACCCACAACTACAATGAAGATAGGCAGTCAAGAAAATTTAGATTTTAAGAAGCCCACAGATGTCTGAAAAAACAGACTTGAGGTGTTTCAATCGTGCGATCCTTATAAATTGAATTTGAAATCTTTAAGGCGAACAACTTTGACACAAGTGCCCTGACACAAAGACCGCCTGGTAAAAGAAAGGCCTCAAACAATGGAACAAGCTTATTTTGTCTTGATTTGAAATTGGTTGTGTGTTGTATTATGGTTGTATTGTTGCATGCTGGCTTTCTTGTCAAAAACATTGCATGTTTCACTCAAAACACAGTTCTTCCCTCCCATTTTAGGTGACTTTCTCACTCTGCATCATTAGATCAGCACCCCTGACTGGACCGTGTACTGACCCCTGCTCGTTAGATTCTGTTGAGTGGTACAGAGCAGCACAAAAGATGGTCTCATGTGAAAGCACTGATTAGGAATCACATTTGCCAGGAGTAACCAATAGCCAGCTGCTCGGGCCATTTGCCTCGCAGCGCTATTCTGCTCTCTGTGGAGATTTGTGAATCTCACTGATCAGTCAAATGCATTCAAGGAAAAATAAATAAACAAAGCTCTCATTAACTAAAGTGCATCTTCAACAACTCAGTGTCATCCACATTCCATAAAGGAAAAGGCATCTTGTTTCAAGATAATCAGAGAATGACATTTCTCTTTTTTCCTCTTTTTGTGTCGCTCTCTTCCTCTCAGCCTCTCTGCACATCAGGTATCATGTTACTAACTTCTTTAATGATGCTTTGTTTTTCTTGTGTGGTCTTGATGTTAGTAGTTTCATTTCCTCTGCGCCTACGTTCTGAACGCTCCTGCTATGCTCCTTAACTGTTCAATTTGATAGTACATGACCTATACTTGGGAACCACTAAGGTCGAATATACTGCATTACTGGACACTGGTCAGCCTCTGATTCGGTTGGATTTTTAAACAGTTTAACCGTTTAGAAATAATGCAAATAATGTGTTTCGTGGCCATAATATGACATGATCTATCACTGTAAAAGAAGTGTAAAAGCGAAAAGTAAAAACTAAGCAGTCCGACTTAATTGATGAATGACAAAGATGTAGCGGGAAGTTGATTTGTGTCACAGATGTGGCCAATGTGTCTCACTTTATAACAGATTGGTCTAATGAGTATTTTGAACTCAAAGGTGACATGTGCATTCTTTTACAATGTACAAAGTAAAACAGTTCCCAAGCGGCTTAATTAAAAGCACTTGTCAGTTATAATAGACAAAGGATAAATTGCATCGTGATTCGCTGGCGACTAGTCCAAGGTGTAGATCACGCTTTCACCCAAAGGTAGCTGGGATTGGCCTAACTCACCCGAGACTCTCATGAGGATAATCGATGAAGAAAATGAACGAATAAAGAATTATCGCACCGTTAATATATACTGGACTTGTCACACAATATGCCACCTGTCCACCTCCAGACTGCAAATGAATGGTGCCTGCTGCCTACCGTAATTTAACCACGCTATTACCTAGCGCTAATCTGGGCTAACACTGGAGGTCTGCTTGAGTTTTGGGTTTTGACATGACAGAAATCGGGGTTTCCCACAGAAAACTGCTAAGCCTGGTGGTCGAGAAGCCGGCCGGATTCATAATAGGCACTTCATTTTCATTAGTGTACTGTATTCACATTATTTTTTTGGAAGACCTGTCACAATATTTTGTTCCAATTATATATTTACCCACAAACTATCACGATAAATGATAGTTGTTTTTTGTTGATTTTTTTTTTTAACGCCAGTGATACATTGATGTACGAGCTAAAATAAATAAATACATAAAATTGATCCTTTTTAAGTGCAATCTGTGCAATATTATAAGGACATGAAATGTTGGCTTTGAAATGTAGAACGATAAAATATCTTGAGGATATAAATACAAATTTAATAAAAAAGACTCAGTCTCTTTGAATTATTTTGCCAACATTCAATAAATATGAACACAACAGATACCACATTGGTACACCACAGTGTTATCTGTAGTGGTAGAGCAAAATGATATGCCTTTTTTGTTTCCTTCCTTCCTGAACAATTCATCTTAATTTTCTTCTTTTTAAAATTCTGCCAGGAATTACAATACAGTGAGTTCACATTACAGCAGTACTGCGTGTGGGAGTGTTTTACTGTGTTACTGTGTACATGTTAATTATTTTCCACAAACACGAAAAATATTTATTTCGCTGTTCAGTTTCACATTTGAAGGGTTGGCAGGCACCCAAGAGACTCATCTGTTGGTATCTGTAGGCAACTCTCCAAAATATTTTTTGTCGCCTGGAGACTGAGGACGGGGCATTTTTTACCTTACCAAACCCGCCGGCTGTCTATGTGCCCACAGTAATCATCAATCCCAAAATCATCTGATTCATAGATTTTATTTGCTGTGAAACACAAACAAGATGGTGATAACAGGCTCAATGTGTGTTCCATTAGTCAGTTCAACATACGTTTAAACGCGATCAACATATGGTCACCAAAAAGTAGCACGATCAGTTTCTGTTAAGTGAACAGGTGATTTTACTACCTGTGCTGATGTATCGCCCCAACACTGTGTGACGAGCATCCCTTTTACCGGTTGATTAACAAGAAAAGGCATTCAAAGTAACAGAATCTCATTGCAAGGACAGTATGCCACACACAGTATATCCCCTTTTAAAAAACAACAAAACAAAAATTTGACTAAAACATTTTCTCAAAGTGAAAATCATCTTTTTCTCAAAAAACTGTTTCTCATTTAAATAAATGCTTTGAATCATCACGTTCGACTTTAGAGGTTCCACTGTAATTCACAATAGCAAGAATAGAATTTTGTAATAGAACTTCCTTTTTGCGATGCTAAAATGCCTCCGTTTCTTGAGCAGTGTCAAATATTTTTTCTACTTTTATGCTTGCATAATGTGGAGTCTATGTGCGTTTAATGCCCCACAAATATGGTCAGTGCAATTTCGGTGGACAGATTCGATATACAGTTGAAAGAACATGTCAGTACCCGTACTTTGTATGTTTGCTCTTCACACTCGTTGCTGTACCCTCTTGACAAGAGTGTGTCACTGATACTAATAATAGACAGTTCAGTACTCCACCACCCACTTCCATATTTTTATCTTGCGCTAGTATGAATCCAATTGGAGGGATATCTGCAACCATAAACGCCAACAGGCTGCGAGCGGAAGGCATGGGCTCCCACGAGCAGGCGGTGCACTTCTCCAACCAGGACTATGAGACACTGAAGCAACAGTGCATTGAGTCGGGCTGCCTTTTCGAAGACCCCTGTTTCCCCGCTGAGCCCCCATCGCTTGGCTTCAAGGAGCTCGCTCCCTACTCTGCAAAAACCAGAGATGTGGAGTGGATGAGACCCACGGTAAGACCACTGAAATGTCATCAAATGTTCTATTACTCCATAACATTACCTTCAATGAATGACATTCAATGCACTGTCTTGCTTGTTTCAATGTATCATTCCCTTGCATTTTTTTAAATGGAACATGATTTTTTTTTATGGGAACAGTTTAAGTCTCAGACGTTCAATTGCGAATAAATCTTATGAGCAATTGGCGGATGGCCGGTGGGTATGTTGCCGGTGGTCTTTACTCCCATGTATTTCTTAACAATGGTTCCATTCCATTTTATGAAGCCGGTTCCCCATAACCTTTACATTGTTGTGAAATTTGTTGTGACATTGTCCCCCCCCCAAAAAAAAAACTGTGCTGTGTGTATTTTTAGATGATTAGATATGTTGTGTACTGTCGTAGGAATGGCTCTGAGATATAGTATATGACAAAAGTGTAGGTAATGTAAGGGCAGGTCACACTGAATACTTGCAGAGGCTGAACACTTAACACTAATTTTAACATCTAAGGGTGTTTTAATAGTCTTATGGTATTCTACTTAAGAGACTGAGAAATCACTATATTTGGTCAGAGTGTCATTGTTTAACCAGCAAATAGTGATGCACTGTACTAGACATCTTATTTTACTGAACAAGTTTATGAATGTTGACCTCTCTGATTAGCTTCTCATGTAACTTGTAAAGCAGCATGACTGTTTGTGGTGGTGACTGGAACGTAAACTCAGCAAACAGCATATCAGTGACGAGTTTATGCCTGAAAATGCAGACGGAATCGGACACGTTGTGGCAGGGGGTGATTAGACTACTTCAGCTGTCTGCATTCTCCTCCCCATATTGAGGGTGTTTGTTTACATAAGTCCCTCGGAGCCTTGATGCAAGAATAGTCTGTGTGCACGATCGTAATCCATATAGGCTTTGTATTAGCGTACAGAATTAATCTCAGAATGTGGATTTGTGCTCACCAAGACATATGCTTTTATTTCCACTAAGGAACTGGTGAATCAGCCTCAATTCATTGTTGGCGGTGCCACCAGGACCGACATCTGTCAAGGAGCACTGGGTGAGTACGCTTTGGTTTAATTCCCTGCCAAAACCCCATGGTGAACTGACTAAATGATCTCTTGCTCCCTTCACCATTAACTTTCCCTGCTGGGTTTTCTTGGTATGTCGTGGTTGACAGCAGTGGTGCTTTTAGGACTTGACCTAGAGGGGTATCTAGCCACAGAATGTCAGGAATAATAATCCTTAATAGTGTTTTTACATGGAGTCATTCTTTTTAATAATTACAATCATATGATTTTTATTATTAAGTGTTTCAGATAATGGATGGATGGATGATGATTAAAAAGAATAACAATATTCATTATTACTATGGGCGGCAACTGGCCAACTGGTTAGCATCGCCATCTCACAGTACAGAGGTTGTTGGTTCAAATCAGGCTCAGGCCTTCCTGTATGGTGTTTGCACGTTCTCCATGTGCCTGCGTGGGTTTTCTCAGGTTTCCTTCCACATTCCAAAAACATGCATGGGAGGTTAATTGAAGACTCTAAATTGTCCGCAGGAGTGAATATTGGTTTGTCAATATCAAGTATCAAGTATAACTTCAATAAACAAACAAACAAACAAACAAACTTTATTGTCAAATGTGCTGTATGTGCAACATACAGCACAGATGAAATTTCCTCCCTCTTAAACAGACAACAAGAGATATATGATCTGCAATTGGCTGGCACACAGTTCAGGGTGTAGCCCGTCTCTCGCCTAATGTAACTCGGATACGCTCCAGCACATCCACGACCATTGTGAGTAGAAGTGGCACTATGAAGATGGTAAATAAAACAATGTGATGTTCAAAAGTAGTCACATTTGTAAGATGTCGTATTGAAATGCAGAATATTTCAGTGGAATCAACCCATACATCCATTATATCCTCATTAGAGTTGCCAGTAACTGGAGCCTAGCTGTTTAAGAGAGAGGATGGGTACACCGCGGGCTAATAGACTAACAACCACATTTCGACAACCAATCACACTCACCTTCACATGTCTGGGCAATTTAAAGTATTTAATTAACCGAGAAAGCATATTTTGGGGAATGCTTTCATGTAATATGCAATAACAGTAAAGACCTGCAACAGTGCAGACACTTTCCCAATTCATACATATCTCAGAAAGCACATTTGAACATGAAACATTTAGTTTGTTGTCTGCTATTGTGTCAATCCAAAATGGCTGGCTCATCCTGGCACTTTAGCTCACGGATCCTTGCGGTGTATTGCAACTACATAATGAGGCTCTTTCCACTGGCTTGAACGGTACAGACCAATTGTAAAGAGCCCAAGAAGGGCACTCTTCGGCACTGAAAATACACTAGGCCAAGATTCAAATTGCTGCGTTTGCTTATACCGCACTCGATAATAGAATCTAACGTGAGCTAATCTGTGGCAACGAGGCTGGTGTGAGCTATAGCATTTTTTAAATTATGTACCTCCAATTTGTGCGAGTAATGTACAGCTTCATTCAAACTCAAATAAAAATTTTGAGCAGCATTTCTTGACCTTTATTAAGTAAGCCAAGGTACAAAATTTGAAACGTCAAACAAAAATGTCACAAAAAGTAAATAGACAATTGAAATGCATGGGGAGGGGGTTGTTTAAACCCAAAATATTCTTAATTGAACTGGCAGTTAGGGTTAGTGGTGTGTCTAACCATTTATGATTGCGGATTATAGTACAGTACTTGTATTATGCGGGCCAAATAATATTTACATAGGCATATTCGAATGGCCAATTAAAAAAACATTGTCGTAAAATACATATTGCTTGTACAGTATACTGCTAAAAATGGTCTCGAGAGGGCCATGGTGGAGAGTGTGCAAAAAGGGATCAGTACTGTATGGTGGACACTCTAGAATTTTCTGCTTGGGCCATTCCGCTTCTCTAACTTCAAAAAAGAGAAGAAACATCAAAAGTCGTTCATAGAGCCATCTCACCTGCATTTCCATTTATGTTGAAATCCTTCCTCTTCCTCCAATGTCGAATCTGCTTGCTCATTCCTTGAACCATGAACATTAAAATATTATTTCCTTTACATCTTTTGGTTCAGGGGACTGCTGGCTCTTGGCAGCCATTGCTTCGCTCACACTCAATGAGAAGCTGCTTCATCGGGTTGTCCCACATGGCCAGTCCTTCGAAGATAGTTACGCTGGAATTTTCCACTTTCAGGTAATTTTTAAAGACACATCCTGATTGTGCAGGATCATTATGCCATTTTGACTGATGAAGTTGTTGTGTTTTAGTTCTGGCAGTTTGGCGAATGGGTAGATGTCGTCATAGATGACAGACTCCCCGTCAAAGATGGCGAGCTGATGTTTGTGCATTCTGCTGAGGGCAATGAATTCTGGAGTGCACTGCTGGAGAAGGCTTATGCTAAGTAGGTAGTTTTGAAGGCTACTCAGTCTATGTCTTTAAATTATTCAGCGGAGTGCATGTACTATCGGAGCGAAGTGTAAATCTCCACCGCATTAGGAAGTGCTGCAGTTTCCCGTCAATATTGCTGAAGAGTTAGTGCATTTTCTTCTTTGTTGTGTCCAGGCTGAATGGAACCTATGAAGCTTTGTCTGGAGGAAGTACCACTGAAGGTTTTGAAGACTTCACAGGTGGTGTGTCAGAGTGTTACGAACTCAGCAAAGCTCCCAGAGATTTGTACAAGATCATCGGCAAAGCTCTGGACAGGGGCTCCCTGCTGGGCTGCTCTATTGATGTAAGGGCTCAAGTCACTCACGAAGCTGATACTGCATTTTGGAAAACTGGACAGGCAGACATTTGACAGAGTAGAACAAGAATTCTTACTCAAACGTCCCCAAGATGCAATAATGTGACATCATGCAACAATGGCAGTGTGTACACAAACTTAAAGGGGCTTGAAGTATCTCTCCCCGTGTGTCTGCTGTGCTCCTTTCATGATGCCTGCCAAAACCACTAAAGCTTGCTATGCGCACCGCACACAAAACAGTAAATGGTAATAATGATAGAAAAACATGTAATGTCTCTCAAGGATATGACATCAGACGTTACTTGTTTATCTCACCTTTTTATTATAAATCACAATCATGGCTACTAAATCACAATCACGGCTACTGCGGGCCTCAGTCGACGGTAAATCAGAGCAACAGCTTCAGGCAAAGCCGACACACGGTGAAACTCCTCTCTCAGTTGCATAACGTCCGCTCTCCAAATTATTCTCAAAACCCCACCTACTCCCTCCCATCCCATGAGTCACATGGGGCATTCTAAAACACTTGGAAATGTCATTGCTCATCAAACATGATGTGTTACCAAAAGCAATACACATATCCTGAATTTCTCACAGCCAAACACCCAATTTTGCCACTTGGACATTTTGTAAACTAAAACATTGTCAAAATTAACAGTTTTCATTACTAGCAGGATAGGTGTGAAAACAACCACTTCTCCCCAGCTCCGGCACCTCAGAGAAAGTGGGCGTGTGTTTAGTCGGCAGTGGTGGTACAAGGGTGGCTCCTCACTTTGTAATGTATATTTTCTTTGATTGGGAGGGTCTGGTGCTTAGAGAGCAGGGATACTCCGAGATGGTTGAATGGAGGAAAACACCACTTGGGAGGTGTTTTTGGTGAGGAATTAGCATTTTAACATTGATAAAAACGAAAATAAATAAATAAATACTTTCATTATCATGATATGGGCATCATATCCGATTATCAAAATTCTTTGCGCATTTTACATTTTATTATAAAAATTTAAGCAATACACATTTTACCATGCATTGTAATTTATAGGTAAATATCTTACATATTCTGTGCATCTCATCAAAAAAAATTCAAGTAGTAAAAATTTGTTAGCATAATTACGCTAAAAGTTAGTGATTCAACTTTCAAAAGTTGCTCAAAGGTGATCACGCACAGTGAGTGACTATCTGTGTTCTAGTGTGTTGTATTGATAATGCGTTTGTTTTATTGGGCGTGGGCGATGGCTGGCACAAACATTTTCCAAGACTGCATCATGGTGTGAATTTTGTAATTGCATCTAGATGCCACTACAGAAGATTTATTTACAGCACTACCGTTTAATCCTACAACAGAGGTTTTCCACTGAAAAGCAATGTGTCCTTTTGATCCCAGATAACCAGTGCCTTTGACATGGAGGCTGTAACGTTCAAGAAGCTAGTGAAGGGCCACGCCTATTCAGTCACTGGGCTGAAGGAGGTACGTGTGAGTGGGACACTACTAGGCAGCAACTGGTGTTATATTTCTTGTTGACACATGTCTGTGTGATGTAGGTAGATTACCGTGGCAGACAGGAGCGTTTAATCCGAATTCGTAATCCTTGGGGTCAAGTGGAGTGGACCGGTGCCTGGAGTGACAAGTGAGTCTTCCGAGTATACCAAATGTCAGCCTACAGACAAACTCCCATGTTGATGTTTTGTCCCATTCCGTGAGCCGGTAGCCAAAAAAACTGAAATCTGATGATGCACTCCCGTTCTTTGTAGTTCCTCGGAATGGGAGCACGTTGATCCATCTGAACGAGATGAAGTGCATTTGCAGATGGAAGATGGAGAGTTTTGGTACGTGTGACAGGTGCCGCAATGATTAGCATTGCTTATGCAATATTAATGTGGAACAATGGAAAAATCAAGCCTGGTAAACAAACCGAATTAAAGATTAAATTGGGCTATGGCCTATTTTAACATTCGTGGATGCTTAAATCTAAATGGGTTTACTGTGAGGCAGTAAATATTGTGTAGTATCCATCCATTCAATTTCTATCATGCTTGTTCTATTAGGGCTGTGGGGAGCTATCTTAGCTGACTTTGGAAAAGAGGCGGAGTACGTGCCGGACTGGTCGCTAGCCAAATGCTGGGCACAAATGGAAAACCAACCACTCAGACTGACTGTAAATTCACAATTAACAATTTAGGTTCATCCATTAAACCAAGAGATTAAATATGGGAGGAAACAGGATAGGCTCCATCTCACCTAAGAGCCGACCCTGATAGGAATAAGCACTTTAGAAAATGGATGTTTGGAAGGATCGACAATAATGTGTAAATATAAAATGCAGTGTCCATTCAATGTCGTTACGTTTTGAGCTTTGTTTCTTGTCTGGATACTAAGCTATAACCTCCTGTTCAAATTTTCTGTATTGAATCCTCTGACAGAACTGAATTCCAAAATGTCAATCCACTTCTTGCACTTTTGAATTCCATCTTTTTCTTTCCTTCCAGGATGTCCTTCAGTGAATTCCTGAGACAGTTTTCCCGACTCGAAATATGTAATCTGACTGCTGACGCTCTGAAGGAGGACGCTCTCAGCCACTGGAACACCATCAAATTTCACGGCACGTGGAGGAGGGGCAGCACTGCCGGAGGCTGCAGGAACAATCCCAGTGAGTTGTGTTCTGATAGAAGCTATTTTTCTGAAAATTTTGGAAGCAAGTCTTGAACAGAAACTCTGCAATGTTTTTAGACACATTCTGGATAAACCCTCAGTATAAGATCACATTGCTTGAGGAAGATGATGACCCCGACGATGACGAGGTCGCCTGTAGTTTCTTGGTTGCACTGATGCAGAAAGACCGCCGTAGATATCGCCGACACGGTCAGGATATGCACACCATAGGCTTTGCGCTATATGAGGTAGGAGCGAAGACGAGTTCTCTTCATTGTTCATCAATCTGCAATTAACTCTGCTTTTTTTATGACAGTTTTTGTTTTGTCTTTGTATATTCTTGCAGATCCCCGAGGAGGTAAGCATTACATCAGCAACATGTGAAGTGAAGACATGTTTTTTTTCTTGGTGCAATATTTTATACCAGATTTTGCATTGTGATGCACTCACCAGACACATGCACAATCCATCGAGATCCAATAATAAAAGTTGCATTCCAAATTCTGCCTCGGCAAAGACAGTAGTGGTCAGTTTGGAATGACACCATTCGAGATGTGTAATTTAACTGTTTTGTTCATTCTTGTAGTTGGCAGTGGTATAACTGGATAAAGTGCAGTTGTACCACTGCCAACTACAACCACAATAACAAACAGATCTGGTGAGATCGGTTTCTGTTTATTTTGGTCATTTTAGCTAACATTAGCGCAGCAAACTATTAGAACCTGATCTCAGTGTGACACAAAACAGTTTTACGCCACAATTACAGGTATATATAAAAAGGCAGCTTCAGTCAAAACGGGACATTATCTTTTATAGAGACAGAATTTTTCACACCGCTATTGAGTTGGGATTCATTCCTATTGCTGCTTGAAAAACAGAAAAATTCATCCATAACTTCATTTCGAAATCATAATTCAAACATGATTTGAATAAAATGGCCAATGGCACATTTGTTTTCTTACTGCCCTCAGTTTAAAGGTTGCCAGAATGTCCACCTGAAGAAGAATTTCTTTCTGCGCAATCAATCGTGTGCTCGCTCTGAGACTTTCATTAACCTCCGTGAGGTGAGCACACGGCTCCGTCTACCTCCTGGAGAGTATCTCATTGTCCCCTCCACTTTTGAGCCCGGTAAAGAGGCTGACTTTGTCCTCCGAGTCTTCACTGAGAAACAATCAGAAACAGAGTATGTGTCTTTTTTTTCCACACTTGTTATTGTTGCGTGGTCTTATTTCAAGGGTTGTAAAAAGCCAAGTGTGATGTCATTGTATTGTGCAGAGAACTAGACGATGAAATCTCTGCTGACTTAGGAGAAGAGGTATGTGTACCTGTCTGACATATGAGTTATATGGGAAGAAGTTAGAACATCTCAACATATCTGATGCTACATAACCTGCAATATAATTCACCTTGCCTTCAGGAAGAAATAACGGAAGATAACATTGATGAGTCCTTCAAGTCCATGTTTGCCCAACTAGCAGGAGAGGTAGGCTGTGGAAAACTCACACATTGAAGGAGCTGCTTGTGGAGGCTCTCAGTCGTACAGGAAAGTTCCATCGTAGAAAGGGTTCTGTCAGTCGTCATCTGTACCTGTGGGTAAAAAACAAAAAACAAAAAAAAAAAAAAAAACAAAAAAGGACGTTTCGCTTCTCTCACAGAAGCTTCGTCAGCGGTAGACAACCCTGAAGTCTCCGTGAAGACTCCGGGAAGTTGCTCTGCGCTAAAAGGCTGAGCGTGGCCTGTTTGAGGACTGGGTGGGGATGGTTAGTCACGCCCCTATGGTGAAGAGGCCCATTGGTTTCTAAACTCCCTATCATTGGGTCTTGATTAGGCCTATTGTTTGGGCTAAGGCTGAATAGCTACTTTCAGTTAGCCTGATCAGCATGTCTATGTCCCTTACTGGTCAACAAGTTATTGTAAATAGGAGACAGGTTAAATCTGATACCTCCTTCACGGTTCAGAGAGGGTGAAAATTTTTTAACAAAAATCGCTTCCTTTAAAAAAGTTAGGAAAATTAAAACAAACAGAGAGGAAACCAACCAACAGAGAGAAAAGAAGAGAAGGGGTGTCTGTGTACCTTATATTGCCGGCCTCTCAGAGAAAATACAAAGAATATTTCTACAACATGATATTCCTGTTTATTTTAAACCGATAAACACATTGAGACAAAAACTAGTACACCCCAAAGACCGGGTTCCTAACACCCAAAAATGCAATCTGATTTATTCCATCCGTTGCCAAGAAAGTGAGTGCAAGAAACATTACATCGAAGAAACCAAACAAACACTCAAGAAAAGACTTTATCAACACAAATGGAAAAACAATGATAACAAAAGTGCAGTATACGCACACTTAAAAGAAACAAACCACACAATTGAAGATGAACAAGTAAAAATCATAGGAACAGAAAAGAGATGGTTTGAAAGGGGAGTAAAGGAAGCGATTTTTGTTAAAAAATTTTCACCCTCTCTGAACCGTGAAGGAGGTATCAGATTTAACCTGTCTCCTATTTACAATAACTTGTTGACCAGTAAGGGACATAGACATGCTGATCAGGCTAACTGAAAGTAGCTATTCAGCCTTAGCCCAAACAATAGGCCTAATCAAGACCCAATGATAGGGAGTTTAGAAACCAATGGGCCTCTTCACCATAGGGGCGTGACTAACCATCCCCACCCAGTCCTCAAACAGGCCACGCTCAGCCTTTTAGCGCAGAGCAACTTCCCGGAGTCTTCACGGAGACTTCAGGGTTGTCTACCGCTGACGAAGCTTCTGTGAGAGAAGCGAAACGTCCTTTTTTTTTTTGTTTTTTGTTTTTTACCCACAGGTACAGATGACGACTGACAGAACCCTTTCTACATTGAAGGAGCCATATTTGGTCAATTAAACTTAAGCCCCACCACACTGAGGGACTAGAACTGTTTTATTTTTCTGAGCCAGTCCCTGAAGATATGTAATGATAATGATGAAAATGCTACAACAACATGAGAAAATTACATTATTGTTCCAAATATAATAAATATGTATTTCAACGGATGCCCTGCAAGTATATTTGTAGAAATGATGCATTAAACTTGAAAATAATGTACCAGTAACTAAATTTAAGTCTTTTTCATGCAGGACATGGAGATTTCCATTCGGGAGCTGAAGACCATTCTGAACAGAGTCGTCTCGCGCCGTGAGTTTTGTTTATTCGCAATGATAGATTGATAGCTGCTGGAATGCTGACATGTTAGTATGCCTCTTGTGTATACACCGTCAATTTCCTGAATGGCCTCTCCTATTAGCGTCTGTGTAACTCCACTTTTGGTGTTCTCTCAGATAAGGATCTGAAGACGGACGGCTTCAGTTTGGAGTCTTGCAGAACCATGGTCAACCTGATGGATGTATCCTCTTGCCTTATCAGAAATTAATTTTAAAAACTACAATACGGTTTGACAAAAGAGTCCTGTAATTGTCAGATTTTTGCATTGCATTGGTTGCTTAGTTAAACACCGTGACAAGATTTTAATTAGAAGGATGGAAGTGCTCGTTTGGGAGTGGTGGAGTTCCAGGTTCTTTGGAATAAGATTCGAAAGTGGCTGGTGAGTGAGTAAAAAGTGTGTCATGCATTACGAGCATTTCAACCAAACTAAACATGTATTCGCTTTGCTTACAGCTTGTCTTTAGGCAGTTTGATCTTGACAAGTCAGGTGCCATGAGTTCCTATGAGATGCGTCTTGCCGTGGAGGCAGCAGGTACAAATGCTCACTATTTAGTTGCATTTAAATAATAGTTGACAAGCGAGATCTACCCTCATGTATTTTATCTTTTGAAGGTTTTAAACTAAACAACAAACTGAATGAGATTCTGGTGGCCCGGTATGCAGAGAATGAGATGATCGACTTTGATAACTTCATCTGCTGCTTGGTCAAGCTTGAAGCCATGTTCAGTGAGTACTCTTCCCTTGCTGTTATTTTGTGTGTAACTTTGCCCATAAACTCCTCGTGGCCATTCAATAACATGTAAACGGCATTATTTTACACAGGGTCTTTCCTGCAGTTTGACAAAGAGTCCTCGGGAGTGGCTGAATTGACTCTCATAGAGGTGAGTTCTGAATTCTTGAATTGCAAGCCTTTCCATCAAACTTCCCCCACTGCATTACTCTCTCTCTCTATCTCTCTCTCTCTCTCTCTCTGCTAGTGGCTTTACCTGACCATGTGTGGTTGAAGAGGACTCTATACCAAGTTGAGGGATGGCAGCAGTCTGCAGATTGTCACGATTGTTTGAACGCTCAGCCTTGAAAATCCTGTAACATTTCCCACCCTAGCGTATCCAAAGTAGCAGTATAGACACATTGAAAAGTCCATCCAGGCCAAGTGTCTCCCACTAAAAAGTTGTAAAACTATGCAAACCTGAAGTATGCAGCTATCACTCCTGCATGAGTATATGCGTAACCACAGAATGGCAAGTTATTTGCATGGTGATATTTCTGTATTTTAGGTTGGCTGTCTTTAAAGGTCTAAAATATTTTGCAACAAAAACATAGTAGTGCTTGAAAAAAAAAAAACGTTTTCACCAATTATCACATTGACTTAAGAGCTTTTCTTACTTTGTATATGACTTACATTTTTAACAGGATAGTGTGCATACAACTTTGCACCCATAGGTAGCAAGACAGACTTGAGCATATGACTTTTTTTTTAAACCTATTGTTTTTGTGTTGTTAGAAATAAGTCGCCGATCTGTGAGGTTTCATCCGAAGGGTTTACTTTGCACTGAAATTTTAGTTGAAGGAAGCTGCTAGCAAAAATGCCTCACATTAAGAAACACTGTCGCTTACATTTACAGGGATCACAGTATTGGAATGCCTTATACATGTCCTTAGCTATAAGCAGCTAAATTAAAATGTGCCAGTTATGTTTTGTGTTCAGAATGTGTGTCGTGCCTTCAATAAATAATGCCATTAACATTCTTCATTTTTAAGGTTTGTTGATTGTGTTCACAACAACATTTAGTTGACCCACATTTGCTTGTTAAACAGACCGTACCATGCGTTTAAGGTAAAGGTTGTATTTATTGTAAGCAAAGAGATGACTGTCAAACAGAAACTTGAGCCTACTACATACAATTCTGTAATTGACAAAACGACCAAGTGGAGAGATTTTCAATCAAACAAAAGAACTAGCAATTGCCAGCACCTTCGAGTAGTCCCCCTCCATTCGTTTACGTAAATGAGTGGGTATGGGCACTTTAATCCTTGTTCCTGTGGGGTTCCCATTCTCCTCGATCAGAACAACGTTATTTGAATCGAAGCGTGGATTCATACGTTCTCCTGGCATTTTGTGGCCAACAATTAGTGCTGCTTTCTTCTGTCCTTTAATGGCCAGCAACACTTTGTCACCAACTTTTCCAACGCCGTTCTTGGTGTACACATGGATCACTCTTGGAGGCCGGTGGTAAGGTGTATTCCCGAGAGAGCTGTTATCCACCACTCGCACTCTGGTCATTTTTTGAATGGCGGCTACAGCAGAGGACACACTGGAGAAAGTTTTTTTACATTTATTTTTGACAGCATGCTGATTCAGTAGTCAGGCTGACTGGTATGGATATCTTCTTCATTAAAGAGACTCGCATAATGTAGTAGGAGTATAAAATATGTAGATCGTGTAGTAAACAGACGAGTTAGATAATGTGTTGACTATGTTTGTGATCCAGAGGTTATGAGATTTCATAAAATGTGATTGGCAGACCTCAGGGCAAAATGCATCGAACAAGTTGGTGTCGATTTGCATGTACAGTACGTCTATAAATATACTTAAATATAGAATAAAATTAAGTGTGTACACAATGTTAAAAAAATAATGTTTCTTGTTAAGCAACCTTTCAGCATAAATCAAATAACACAATAGTCATGGTGCAGGCTAAAGATCGGTGGCCCGCGCGGGCTGCCAGAAAACTTACCCGAATGTCCTCTGAGGAATTAAGCTCAGTGTATCAGCGAGGAGCCCGGTGACAGGTCTTGCAAACAGCTGCAGCGCCATCACTGCAAGGAATATTGTTCAGGATCTTTAAATTGTACAAAAGTCTGCGGCTAAAGCTATCGCTAACTTATGGTCGCATGGTGGAAACAAATAAACAGGGTCCATTTTTAATGTGAATTCATTCAAATAATTTCACACACAATTAAAAGCCCGATTTTGTCCTACCAACCCAATAGTTTTATCAAAAATGTTGAATTCTATTACCGTTCTTATTCAGTCCATGCCAATGTCAAATATGTGACGTAATTAACAAGCGACAAGAGGCGTATTACACATTCAATAAATTTGACGGATTGTAAATGTCGGAAATACGTTACCTTTTTAATGCTATTTACATATTAACAATGCGCACATGTCAAAGAAATCACTAATGTCGCAAATAGAGCTGGCTATTTTTTCCCCATCTAAATACGTCATACGCATGCGCTTCTGCTGATAGAAATATAGAGCATAGATTCTCCCAGCACGAAAGCTCTGTTAAGTGGTTCTGTTGCGAATCTGCTTCACATTTCTACAAGTCATACGTCTGTCTGCCATACTTCAAGCATGATTGGCGTCTCCGCCCGCTGGACTGGTCCGTCTTGACGGTTGTCCAACCGGCTGTCTTGACGTGCACAATAGTCACTGCGTTGACGAGCGCATCATTGTAAACAGGTCCGTGGTGTATAGTTTGCTGAGATACTAAGTTATCATTTTTCTCTTACCCTGACGTTGTGACGAGGGACGTTAAACTTAAAAATAAAATCCTTGTAGTTTGGTCGACTCCAACTGTCTTATGCTACGTTGAGCAGCTAATAGTTAGGCTACGCTTCACTGCTAGCCCCCATTGACGGAGTGACAAGTCCGCTGACGATTTAACTTGTTTAATGCATACGGAAAGGTAAGTCTACCTCCCGGCACGGGATTGAGCTCATTCACACCATTTGTCCTCATTTTAAACCGCGGTGAAGTTATAATGTCCATTTGGTACTTCTGAATGAACTTTATGCTTGCCAGCACAAGTAAACTGAGTGATATTGTTAGCGTTAGCAGACTAACACGATATACTCACAATAAGCGACTCTGGTCATTATTTATTATTACAAGGCGCTGTATTAAAGAACATCATATAATTGAAATAATAATTCTAATGACTCAACTCACTTAGGCCAAGATAGTGAATAGCGTAGCATACTTGTGATTATCTGTTGTCTGTCAGCCGATGATTACATGTAACTCGTGGGACACTGTTAAGATACAGAACGATCTATTAGGTAATGCAGCTCGTATGGCTAATATATGCATTACTTTCTGAGCGTGTTTGACTCCCTGTGGGAATTTGACCGATATCGAATCGGTAATTTACATATTAATTCAGCATTGCAACCTTGACATACTCCTGACATTATTTCCATTAGCTAACCGCAAGCGCAAAGTAAGCAGCGTCAAGTAGATTTGAGAGTCTTTTCAAAGAAGGTGACACGGACAATTAAGCAGTCAAAAAGTGTGCGGCCGCGTTCATGGGCACAGTAGGGTGTGCTGTGTCCTCCTTGGGGCTGACATCGGCCCATTTGAACCCTGCGGTCTCTATTGGTTTATTGTTGGGCTCTGGCTGCATCTTGCCGCAGTGATGTCACAGCATTCCATGGAGCAGATAAACGACTTAGTGTTAGGGCAGATGAGCACTCAGCATCGCGAATGCTGCTAATAGTGAGTGGGTCGAAGGCCAAATATAAAGGAGTGCAACTGTGTAAACACATGTACCAGCACACTCTAGTCTAGGACACCAGTGTTGTTTTTATGTCCTTATCAAAACACGCAAAGTATGTAAGTCTCAAATGGTGGTTGCCTGTACACGGTAGTGGGAAGTAACGAGTACGTCTTTGTTGTACACAAGTAAGTAGGTAACTGTACTTTCTGATTATCTTTTTATTCACACTTTTTACTCTTACCCTCTAAATACAAACACAGATATCAGTACTTTGTTCTCCTTACTTTCTCAAACTAGGCTTGTTGCTTTTTTTAACCTTTGAGAAAAAAGAAATACTTAGAGGTAAAGTCAACTGCATTTAAAATTGTCATTGCTTCAGTTCTTGGGATAGTCGTGACATGAAGGAACCTGAACCAGGAAATATTAATGATGATGCTGCAAAAGATTCAGAGAAAAATGGTATTCCCCATCCATCACCCTATTGAAGAGAATTATTTGGTGTTCTTGGCTCAAAGAATAATTAATTTAAATGTGTCAATTTGTGCCAACCCACAAATGTCGTCTTAAAACAACAGTGTTAATTATATCTTGTATCCTGTTTTTTCAGTGATCAAATTAGATCTTTTTTTTTTCTTCTCAGTACGATCACTATACCAGTTAATAAATTAAGGAAGCTGCTGTGAAGAAGTTATCCAAAAGGGTGTTGTTGCAAAAGGTGGGAGTACAGTTCCGCCTGCACTTGGCTTTTACTTACTTACAAGTCAATTTTCCCACGGAGTACTTCTTCCCATGTACGTTGTGTGGATACTTTTTCCACCTCCGTAGGATAAGAATAAATGCACTTTCATGTATAAAGCCTGTCTTCTTTATCAGCTATATTGTAGTGATCACCCAAAAAACAAACATGTTTCCTGAGCATCCATTTCTAGTCTATGGTGTTTATATTCCTTCTCACTGGTACAATTCCATGCTGGTAAAAAACAAACAAGTAAAAGGTGCCCGTGAGAGTAAAAGGCAATAGTGTTCACTCTGGAATGGATTAATCTTTCTATTGTTATTATTTCCGTTGTTTCCTATGAAGACCATTGTCTTCTGTACAACAATAACGTTTTACACTAGATATAATTGTTTCCATGAAGGCATAATTAGAGTAATTAAAACTGATATATGTACTGACCCTAGTGGGGCAAAATATTGCATGGCATTTTTTGATATGCAAAATGTGTTCAATTCGCATCAATCATCAAAAAATACAATTCCATTAACACAAGCAAATACTAAACTAAGTTTTAACTAGTGACATACATATATAAAGTATAAACAAGATCCCGTTTGTACATCTTATACCTACAGTAATGGGAAATACAAGAAGCTTGATGATGATGACTGGTCCTGAAAATGTTTGACTTTGATCTTGGAAGTGCCCTATTAATTTATAGAGAGAGCACAAAATAAATGATTTATTGTAACAGCACAAAATGGGAAGAATGAGCTGATTGAAAGAAAAATAAACACCTTTTGGTTGTCGTATGTGTTGTCAGAGCAGTTCGGCGTGTGATGAACAAGAGAAATGTCAGCTTTGGACAAAAGAGGACAGAAACTATTCATTTGTTCATGTTTCCCATTAGCTCTAAATTTCTCTTAACCGGAAAGCATTTTCGCTATTATCCTGTTCCTTTTCAGTGTGCATAAGCGATTTATACTGAGTGTTCTAAACACACTGGCCCTTATTTACAGATTGTCAGCATGTTGCAGTGAGTGATGCAAGTGCTGGTATTAGGGATGGCCATCTGGGGGGCGCAAGCTTGCTCTGACTCACAAAGCTGTACGACAACGCTGCCACCCAATGCCACCTCCAAAGAGTACTGCTACTCGGCCCGAATTCGCAGCACGGTGCTGCAGGGCTTGCCCTTTGGTGGCGTACCAACTGTTCTCGCCCTTGACTTCATGTGCTTTTTGGTGAGTTGTTCTGGAACATACGTCCATTCTATGTTTTTTTCCCCAAGGAGTACCAATATTTTAGTTTTCTAATCCATCCATTTCTTGAAAATAATTCTGCACTTCCAGGGCTTGCTGTTCGTGTTCTCTTTCTTGCGAAAAGTAGCGTGGGACTATGGACGTCTCGCCCTGGTCTCTGATGCTGACAGGTAAAGTATCTCTCTGTCAGGATACGTTTAAAGTCTTCGTTGTTACTTCAGAAATGTGCAACAAAAAGTAATGTGCTACGTAAAAAAAATAAAATAAAATAAAATCTTTATTTTTTATTATTTTAATCTTATTTATTATTGTTATTTTATGTTAACTGTTCTGTAGTGTTTTGTTACAGCTGAAGCTGCTGTGAAAGCGCTATATAAAGATGTATTATTTGGTATTGCATTGGCTGTCCTTCCTCAAATTTCACAGGATTACATTTATAAACGGTATTATCAATCCACTCCAATTTCTGTACAGCATATCAATGATAAGGAAACCAATAAGGAATCAATGACAAGTAGAACAATCAATGACATCTTATTTCTTCACAGCTGTTCTGTTGCTATGTATGCTAGGTTCGGGGAGGCATTTTCTGTCGAGCTTAGTGTGGCAAACAGCCACTCACAATCTGTTTTTATACCCAGAGTCATTGTCATGGATTAGTCTATAAAACAGGAAGTGTGTGTTTGCCAACAGTGAAAAGATGCTCATTACACTAAAGGGAGCATAGGCCTTGTCAATTTTTGTCCCAGACAAAAAAAAAACAAAGCAAAAAAATCGATTGAATACACAGTTGACACAGCAAAATTAAGCGATCTTAGGCTAACTGGAGCAAACCTCTCAAGGATTTGACCCAGACAGGAAGTCTGTGTCAGCAGCACATGGTGTGTCTGGTTGAGTCTAAGCACTTTCGGTGGAATCAGACCTGAAGTTAACCCTTTCATGCATCATTAATGATAACCTGTAACCTAATAACATGATAGGCTGTCCACTGTTGTAACCGCTGTCCCCGAATATTAAATTTAGATTAACAGCAGTATTATCAAATGAAATAATCATATTGATAAGACAAAACATCTACCGTTAATTCGCATTGTTTGTGAAATTTACACTTGGGCGTAACTTCACAAGATCATCAACAGTCATTATTGCAAGTAGATTTTTACAATTATGACATTATTCTTATAATTAAATGACATTTTTTCTTCCCATTTTAGTGTAGCCCCAATACATTAGAAATTATACTTGGGATCCAAGTTTCACCCAAACCCACTGATCAACCCCTAAAGAGATGCTTCGCGGTAGTGTGGTGTTCTGAAGAGTGGTTAAATAATTTCACCAATGCATTTGAATGGCAAGATTAAAAATGTCAACTTTAGGCAGTGAACACTAAAACCTTGTGGATTCTGAAAAAGTTTATCTCATGACATGCTGCTTTGTAACCCACATTTCCCAGCTGTGGACATTTGGATTTTACTCCTCCACTATTTTTGCAGCTGCGTGTCAACTGATAATTGGGTTGTAGCATAGTGGGGTGATGGGAGGGGGTGGCAGCTGTCAAAGTCCTTTGTCAAATATTATTCGTTGAAAGCAGATTATTTGAGTGGTGAAGCTCAGTATCAGAAACAGTGATGCGCTTATGTATCTGTTCATTGCTCGTGTTTTTTTTTTTGTTGTGTGCCAGGAAGCTAATTGGAATGCATATGGTGTGAAATGTTTCCTCGGTGAACCCGTCCATACTAGCAAGCAGATTTGCTTCGTATCAGCATAACTAAATGTTTTGCCTGTCTTTTCACCAGGAGAATGGATCAGCGTTACAGTCGTCTGGATGATCGGGAATAGTATGTTATGTTTGTATTGCCTTTTCCTCACTTGCTCCCTCTTTCTGTTGTTAACCTAGCTACCACTTTTAGGTTTCCTCATTCTTGGTGTTTTAGTTTTTCCTCCTCCAGGTGTTTCCCAGTGCCAGGGTCCTAAATGATTCTCACTCCTCTTGCCAATGTCATTGTTGTGCTGCTGTGTCCTTGTCTTTAATTAGATCTGTGTGTACTAATCTCTGTATTAACCTCTTTCTGAAGCATGGCCTCCTCCTGTGTGGCCGCACAGCATGATGCTCACAGACAAGACTCTTAGTAGAGGTTGTAATGCTACTTTATCTCCTCTTCACCATGACTGCTACACTTGAGACAACCCCTCTCTAATTTCTCATTGGAATGAAGGAGACCCTCTCGCGAGGGTGACATCATTCTTCTAATAAACATACTATGAGCTCCAGCAGAGCTCCAGCATTTCCTGAACTTATGATACCAAAAAGTGCTCATCTCATTCCCGCGTTTGTATATAGAGCAGGGGTCACCAACCCTTTTCAAACTGAAAACTACTTCTAGGATACTCATTCATGATAAGGGCTTTCATTTACACACACCTCGGCAATAATACATTTTTTCACATTGCCTTTAACGATGTTATTGTTAATGGTCTTCATCTGTGTGAAGATACTGATCACATTAATGATTTCTTACAATAATGATCAACCATGAGATGACAATGTAGGAAACACATAAATATCCTTATGTAACATATTACTAAAATTACTGCAAGTGTTCAAATTTTCTAATGTTCACTTCTTACCACATTCCTAGGAAATCACAGTGTACCATCTTTGGTGAGCTATTTTGAAAACAGGCCCACAGGCTACTGAAATGGTCAATACGGCCTGCCTGATGCCCACGGGCAGCATGTTGGTGACCCCTGAATAGAGTATATTAAGGGACAGCACATTCGCTCTGCTGAACTCAAAAGGATCTGCTTCGTATCTTTTTCATGTGTCTGGGCTTCTTCTGAGCTGAGTTCTCTTTGCGATGTAACAAGAATTTAGGAAGTTCCCAGACTCACTTTCCATGCTCTCTCATTTTGAAAGTAACTGTTGCTGTTGCACTGACTGTTAAGGAATGATCTCAAAACAGGATTCCGTCTCTAGTCTGTGCAAGCGCATACATTCCCTGCAATAAACCATGGGTCTTGTCTGAAAGGGACAGGCGAATAAATCCTGGCTCTTATGCTTCCAGTGCACCATTTTACAGTGTAAAAAGGTTGTGTTTATGTGTGTACAAACGTTTCCATTCTACTAATGGCAGTTCCAGTGTGTTGACTTTTCTTTTTTCCCTTTTAAACCATGACACTGCTTTGGGTTGTGTTATATTCACACAGTGCGGTCGCTGCCTTAACAGAGGCACCTGAACGCTATGAGCGCCTCACCTCAGTTTCCAGCTCGGTTGACATAGATCAAAGAGACACAGTAAGAATGTCGTTACTGTTACAGAATGGGCAAATGTGTTTGTCCTTGTTTCATTCATATTATTGCTCTTTTCTCTTATAGGGGTTCTGTTCCTGGCTCACTGCCATCTTCCGAATCAAGTCAGTCGGCCTTGCTCTTTATTAGAGACCCTGTATTAATATTTTTAAACATGATTTTTTTTCCCCAGGTGAATAGACTAAAGCCAGATACCTCCCGCTTTCTTGTTATGTTTTACCTTGTAGGGATGATGAGATAAGGGAGAAGTGTGGGGAGGATGCAGTGCATTATTTGTCCTTCCAGCGCCACATCATTGGCCTGTTGGTCGTGGTGGGTGTGCTCTCTGTTGGCATCATCTTGCCTGTTAACTTCTCAGGAAACCTACTTGGTGAGTTCACTGTGTTTTGTCACAAAAGGATGGGACCACTTTGCGTGACACAAAATTATCATGAAAAGCAGAAATGATGGTCTTTTTTTCCGACAGAAAACAACGCTTATAATTTTGGAAGAACTACTATAGCAAATCTAGATGCAGAGTGAGTATTTCTTAAGCAGCATATTTTCGCACCATTGTGATTTATAGTCTGTGTTGCTTAACACTTGATATATCAACTTTTTTATCCTATCCAGTAATGCACTTTTGTGGCTGCACACCATATTTGCATTCCTTTACCTGTTACTGACAGTATGCAGCATGAGAAGACACACCTCCAAGATGCACTACGCAGAAGATGACTTGGTTGGTTTCACAAAATTCCTTCCACAATCAAACGTTTTCAAAAATTATTGACATCCTCCCTCCCCAATTCACTGCAGGTCAAACGAACATTATTTGTCAATGGACTCTCCAAATATGCAGAAGAAACAGAAATAAAGCAACACTTTGAGTAAGGGCCTTCAAATATTTGTTTTGAGTGATTTCATGTTGAATCTCATTTCCTGTCTGCTCATGTACTCTATAACTGCATTAGAGTATATGAGAGCCATGCCTTTTCCTCTTAAAGCTGGTTTCGGCAACTATGTACTCAGTATGAGACAATGGCCGGACTATAAGAATAAATGTTGGTAATAGAAGCCAGATGAGTAGAATAAGCAAGTCATGTGTCATTTCCTTCTAGTGAGGAGGGGTGCTTGGCCCTTATCCCACTTAACTAACATTTATTATGCAGAATGTTGTCTCCACTCTTGTTGTAATACGATTCCCATTCTCCCTTTTAATAGGCAAGCGTATGAAAACTGTGCTGTGCTGGAAGCTCGCATCTGTTACAATGTGGCCAGGCTGATGTATCTGAACTCTGAAAGGTATCAAATTCACACAGAGGAAAAAGAGGATTCATCCATTATTTGCAATGTCATCAGTGTGAAATATGACTGTTTTGCATGCAGGAAGAAAGCTGAGCGCAGCAAAAAATTTTTCCTTGATCTGCAGGCCAAAGAGCACATGGCCACCATGATAAACCCAAAGCCATGTGGACACCTTTGCTGTTGCATCATCAAAGGTTGCGAGCAGGTCAGAAAAACATTTTCCATTATCTAAAAACAATAACACAGCTTAAAGCTTTCTGGCAGTCAAATGTCTGTCTGTCTGTCTGTCTGTTTTTGTAGATGATAGCTTTTTTGCCATTCTGATTATTTTTCTGATAACCTACAGTGGATATGAAGTCTACACACCCCTGTTCAAATGCCATTTTTTCTTTGTGAATTAAGAAAATTAGGCCGTTATAAACAATTTCCAAACTTTTTTCCACCATTAAAACAGCCTATAATCTACAAAAAGAAAAGAGAGAAGAAATGGTCATGTGGTTGCATCGTCTCCAGACCCTCTTATTAACTGGGCATTTGCCTGTGTTCTAGTAGGCTTCTCCTGACACTTTTGGATTTTAAGAAGCCTGTAGGCTTTGTGCTAACACTGATTGGCATTTGCAGCTTTTCATAAATCACTCTTCCTTGAATTTTTGACGATTGACTATGATTAAGATTACGGTACTACGACTTGCTTTTTTAAAATTGAGTTGTTGAGTTTATGTCATATTAATGGTGGTGGGGCAGGGGGAGTTTTAAAATTATTTCCAGTGGTTTCATTTTTCTACATCACACACAACTGGCATTTGAACAGATGTGTGTGGATTTCTGCATCCACTGTATGTTCATTTCAGAAATCCAATCTTAAACTCGCTACAACTCTCATCAATATTTGGATGTTTATCTCCCACACAGGAAGAGGCTGTGAGTTATTATACCAAGCTGGAAGCTCAATTAAAAGATGGCTACCGGAAGGAAAGAGAGAAGGTCAACAGGAAACCTTTAGGAATGGCATTTGTCACCTTTCAAAACGAATCCATAACTGCTATGTAAGAAATGCACTGTTTATATATTATATAGAAAAAGAACATGTGAATGCAGGTTAATGATTTTTCTTGGTTTGTCTCAGAATCTTGAAGGACTTCAACGCTTGCAAATGTCATGGCTGCCACTGTCGCCGAGAGCCTCGGAGCTCTGCATTTAGTGACAAACTCCAGACACACAACTGGACTGTGAGCTATGCCCCCGATCCACACAATGTCTACTGGTTAGTGTGAATTCAAGTCACTGTCTCTGCAATATCAGCTAAGTAACCAGCTGTGTTGGCCAGTCTGGCTTTTGATCTAATCGTTAGATAATTTTTTATCCCCCCCAGGGAGCATCTGTCATTGGGAGGATTCTCGTGGTGGATCCGCTGCTTGATCATAAACTGTGTCCTCTTCCTCCTCCTATTCTTCCTCACCACACCAGCCATCATTATCTCGACCATGGACAAGTTCAATGTTACCAAACCAGTGGAGTACCTTAACGTGAGTCCATTTGTTTAGAATATTAAGGGTTATTTTATTCTTATATCAATTATAAATAAATAAATAAATCATCCTCAGCCAACCTTATATTTTTTTTCTAAATTATACAAAGGTGCGAGAATTATAATACTCTGTAAATCTCTAATAATAAGTAATGAAGTAATCCCTCCAAGCTTTCCTGTTACTTTTGCAGGGAAATAGTTTGTCATATCTTAAATCTTCTTGTGTTTGTATGGAAAAACAATCACAAAGGTATCTTTTCTGTGCCCACGCAAGTCTACCGTGGCGAGCTGTTGAACATGGAGGCGGGTGAGACAGAGATTTTGTTTTCACAGGCGGACGCAGCTTGGTGTAGTTAACATCAGGCGCCGTTGTGGGCGTGAAGAAAGTTGACTTTATTTGCCACCATTTAAAGTGGGTCCTCACATTACTTTTAGAAACGGTACACGAGAGGCACAGTCCTTGACATGGCGGAAGAAGATACTGGCTCCGTGCAGTAGGTTGAAGCACGCAAAGTACATTTATAAGAAACTGCAAGCAGACCTCGATGGGCAGATGATGTCAGGTGGCTAGAGCGATCACAGATTTTTGCAGTGGGCACTCAAAGAGACGGCCTTCCAACTCAAATTTTTCATGTCCATGTGCCAAACTCCTCTAACCCCAACTCCTCCCGCCTCCGCCCTTTCGCTGTGCCGCGGTCAGAGGGGCGATTTTAAACAATAAACTAATAATAGTACTAATGTGTACAATGATTCACAGGGTTCAATGCATGCTATTGTCATTTTTCTGAATGAAATACGATGACATCCACCACACGTCCCTAAAGTGCAGAATCCATCCGTATGTGCCATGATCATGGTGCACAGTGGTCTGCCAAATTCCCAAACAAGCAAAATGATGCTTGCAATGTCACCAAAATCGAGATGCGGCAGTTTTTCCGCGTGAGTGCAGCTGTGCCGTCTACAATTATAGAGCCCTGAGACTTGACAACAGATTTGTGTATGTAAATTTGACCTTTGACTTCAGATAGGCCTTGGAGAATAATCCATAAAAGTTGGAGGAAAATTGATTTGAAAAATGCGCACGCAGTACTGAATCAAACGTACGGACAGATCTAAACTTCGGCCCTCACTTCAGACACTCAATTTAGTCGTTGAGTTCTTGTCACAACCTCTCAGTGTGTGTCTGCTTTTTGCCCACAGAATCCAATTATCACTCAATTTTTCCCCACCCTCCTCCTGTGGTCCTTCTCTGCCTTACTTCCTACCATTGTCTACTACTCTGCCTTCTTTGAAGCCCATTGGACGCGGTAGGGTTTTTATTTAAAGCAGTCATTTCAGGATGTGTGCGTGTGTGTTTGTCCTGTTTGTTTTGCCTTTAGTGTTCACAGATTGATAATGTGTCCTTTTGTTCCTACAGGTCTGGCGAGAACAGAACTACTATGCACAAATGCTACACGTTTCTAATCTTTATGGTGCTCCTACTGCCCTCCCTTGGTTTAAGCAGGTACTGCGTATTTTTGTTTTCACTGACAAAAAAATATGCACGATGGTGAAGTACTGTATTACGATGGTGAAGTACTGTATTTTTTTTTTTGTATGTATTAAATGATGTCATTTTGTTGTTGTTATCAGTTTTAACTATGGTCTTTTCTGTCTGTAGTTTGGATGTGTTCTTCCGGTGGCTTTTTGACAAAAGATTCTTGGCAGATGCGAAAGTGAGATTTGAGTAAGTTGCATGTGTGCAGATAAGCAATAGCTTTACCGCACTTATTCACTGAAATATGTGTGTGTTCACTGCTTATCTCATGATTTCAAACAATCATGCTGCACTGGAGCATATTTATCATTTTTAGGACGTAATCTGAATCCTTACAAATAATCCATGAGTAAATTAGAATGTTGAGTATTAAATGATAATTATCGAACTCGCACATTTTACCCGAAACAATAGTTAAACTTGTCTACATGTATTATGGCTTCATCCCACAAAAACATGTAAATGAGGTTAATTGAAGATTCTAAATTACCCATAGGTGTGAATGTGAGTGTGAATGATTGTCTCCTTGTCCTGCGACTGGCTGACAAACAATCCAGGGGGTATTTCCTGTCTCTAGCCTAAAGTCAGCTGAGCTCCAGTTAAAGCAGCCCTAATGAGGGCGAGCAGTATTGAAAATGAGTCAATGGAAGTGGATCGAAGCTTTTAAACTCTTTGATCTGTCTGTGCTGTCCACATCAGGTGCGTGTTCCTTCCTGACAATGGAGCTTTCTTTGTCAACTATGTCATTGCATCTGCATTCATTGGCAATGCCATGGACCTGCTCAGGATCCCCGGTCTGCTTATGTACATGATCCGCCTTTGCCTTGCTCGATCTGCAGCCGAGCGCAGGAACGTCAAGAGGGTTAGTATGTGATTTCCTCACCAACAATACTCAATCTGCTATTCCTTTTGGGACGAGTTGTACCATCTGTATCCCTTTTTGTGACCATTTATACCACCATATATTTTCTCACATTAAACCTGTGTTGCTCATGATGATGGAAAGTCTGGTTATAATTAACATTAAAAAATATGATCACTGTATGAATATTGTAAGACCATTTCTATGAATAGTAAATCCATCAGTTTTGGTTTTGTATTAAAGCAAGGTTTGACCAATTTTCTTTCTAAGTTTGAAGGTTAAAGTCACATGATTCAACTCAATAAATATCTGATATTTATCCTGTCATTCTGTAGCATCAAGCTTACGAGTTCCAGTTTGGAGCGGCTTATGCCTGGATGATGTGTGTCTTCACAGTGGTTATGACCTACAGCATCACCTGCCCAATCATTGTCCCCTTCGGTAAATTCTGCTTTTTCAATTGCCCTGGTCTGCAACTGATTATGCAACCTGATGCAATTATGTTGTTCTGTTCTTCATAAGCTTGCTCATCAGCCAGCCTAATAGGATTTGCTCTTACTTCATACTCCACTTCTTTGCACAGGGCTGATGTATATGCTGCTCAAACACCTAGCAGACAGGTACAACATGTACTATGCTTACCTGCCTTCCAAACTGGACAAGAAGATCCATTCTGGAGCCGTCAACCAAGTGGTGGCTGCTCCAATTCTCTGTCTATTTTGGCTTCTTTTCTTCTCCACGATGCGCTCTGGTAGAAAAGCACTCCCTCTACAGGCCACAAATGACAATTTAAAGCACCTGATTAACAGATGTCCTCCAAATTTCCTTTCCCAGGGTTTTCAGCAGCAATCTCCATGTTCACGTTCATAGTTTTGATCATCACAATCACTGTCTGCCTCTTGCACGTCTGCTTTGGACATTTTAAATATTTGAGCGCACACAACTACAAGGTAACAACACCTGTTAACTTATACTATTTTTATTTACATATTTTTTTTCAAACTTTAGTTAAATATGTGTTTTGTGTGTTCCAGATTGACACTCAAGAATCAGATGTGCCTGTGAATGGGCATATAGAGTGCACTACTGACTCCAACAAAGCTGCAGTAAGTAGTCTAGCAAATGTATTTGGACGTGTAAGTATCTCGCAGTTGGAAATGTATAGACCGTGTGCCATCATTAACCACCATGCAAACGCAGTACAAATGAACACAAAACCAGTCCCAGGAGCAAATACATTGAAGTATACGACTGTATTGATAAACTCAAACAACAATTACATTGTTAAAGGGATTCTGGCTGCAGCCAGCTGTTCTCATGCCCCTTCTCACCACAGACCTCAATTCTGCACCACCGTCAGCCTCTGGAAATGTGTTACATTTCAGCCAAACATTCGTCAAAATCAAATTCACTCTAGTTTGAAAATTAAAAGTAAATATGCCTTCTCTCTTTCAAATTCAATTATCAGGTCTAAGTATAGTTTAAAAAGTTCTGACCTTTACTACCTGAAGTAATGAATGAGGGGGGCTTAGTTTTAAATTTATTGAAAAACTGCAAAGGACTTTTTTCAAATTCAGCTCTGCCTGCGCCAAGTGAGTAAGAAGATGCTGTATTTCAAACAGCAATAACACTGTTGGAAAAGTGATACATGTGCCAGTTTACATTTTTAATGTAATGCAGCTTTATTTATTTATTTTAAAACATTCATTCTGGGCTGCAGGCTAAGACACAATTGAAAAAGTGATACATGAGCCGGTTCATATTTTTAATGTAGTACAGCTTTATTGTTTAACCTTTATCAACAATAAAGCTGAACGACATTAAAAATGTGAACCAGCTCATACACTCTCGAAGGGCTGCTCTTCTAAGATTTAGCGCTTTATATCAGGTCTTTTTTTTTCTGAAGATAACGTCAACAATCCCTACATGACCAATGGAAGAATAGACATAAATACCATGACATAAATGAATGCAAAGAACATTTACCTTCGGTTTGTTATGGATATTCTTTTTTTCAGTCTGTAGTAACATTCCTCTGCATTGTATCCTGCAGTTTCTCCTTCCTACATCTCATAAGTAGTTCCTTATTGAGACCTCAGGAGCTCAATTGTTTTTGACATCACCTTGGAAGGTTCGCTGATAAAGCTTTGTGACACGGATATGATACCTAAGAGTACATTGCATATGGAGTACTCTGATCTTGTCAGAAACTGTTGTCTTATTTATTTTGATTCTTAAAAATATATTTCCATTCATACATTATCTGAACTGCTTTATCCTCACGAGGATCGCTACGTACTGGAGCCTATCCCAGCTGACTTTGGGCAATAGGCGGGGTACACCCTGACCTTGTTCCCAGCCAATCACAGGGCACTTAAAAATATAGTTTTAACATTTATTTTCAAGGCAACATGTTTATTTGGAGTTAAAGAATAAGACAAAACCTGATAAATGGATATGAAATAAAATGACTCATATAACAATCGGTGGTGTTACATTCCACTTTTGGGAAATCATCAAGATGCGTGATTGAGGGTGTACTTTTGATAGGTGGGGGGGGGGGTGCTGGTGAGGCATATGTGGCAACCTGTAACGGGGGTTTCCAAGTCGACCGGCCGCAAATTGACTGGCCGTTTGGGAAACTTTCCGAAATTCCCAGAGGCCCCACGCAATATTTTGCCTCTCTCATCTAACTTTGCCTCTGATCACTTCCTGCCACGTGATGCAATCCTCAAATGTAGCAGCAGGGGGCACAGTAACCCATATAAACGTGGCGTCTTTCGAAAATCACTCACGTAATACAGACCTCTGGAAATGAGCATTATTTTTAATACAATGCTGAACACTGACGATCACATTCAGTGATTCCGATTGTGCAACAAGTGCATCAGCTAAAAGCTTTTTGAGAAATCTTGCCGATAGTGCTGCCTTGTAAGGTTGCTTTTGAGAAAGATTTTATTTGTAATCTTTGTTCCTCTTCTCAACAGCAGATGTACATCGCTGAGGTTCTGCAAGATCCAAATTCAGAGGAGGCCGGATCAGGCAGTGGCGAGGACGATGGTCAGGGGTCGTCACAAGATGAGGAAATAATCAATGTGGAAAATGGCCTCAACGAGGACTTCCAATCTGGAGAAGACAGCCTCATCGATAATGAAGTGCGACACTGAGACAGCAGAAAGTTCAAAGTCACTGAGAAGAATGCACTGAATACATGGACTGGAAGAGAGCCGACAAGTTCATCAAAGCATCTCAATTTGACAGAGGGATGTAAAACTAATGGATGCGTGTTGTCTACTAATGATTACATGGATTCTAGCTCAAGGATTCTTACATACTTACACCAGGACTACTTGCACAAGGAATGCATGAGCAGCAAAGCCCATCCGATCAACCTCCACAGGGCATGGACCCAGGGAAAAGACACAAAGGTAGACACGACCACGATGGTCCTGTCTTGAAGGGAATGATGTTCTCTCCTCGTCCTCAACATCATTGCACGCGTAACAAGAAGACTTCGAACTCCAGTAAGCTTGACTTTCCACAAAGGTACCGTCGATTGCGTGTCTTCAAGAAGTGGCGGGTTCCCCATAATCATCTGCTAGTACCCCAAAATGTCCCCACTCAGCGCTCCATATGGAATGTGGTTATCAAGTTGAGGTGCAGATGTTTCCGCAACGCTCATGCAAACCCATAGAAGCCTAAAAGAGAAGATGCCTATTTTCTTTTAGCACATGACCTTCTTGGGCATTGATTGGAACACATTTCCTTCCCACTGTGGAAGATGAGCGGTATCTTAGGACACTACAGTGAAGCGATGCAGCCAGTTAGGATTGCTGTTGGACTGCTGCTCCTGACCCCGATACAAGAGAACTTTGGGTTGAATAGGATGGACAGGTTGGTGGGTCAGTCTGGTATGATAGTTAGCTGTTTTCTGTTTTTTTTTTTTCCTTCCCCCATAGGTTTACATATTTACGCACAGATACTGACATTTTCATTCATTTTATGGTGGAAACTGGATAATGACTAGTTTGTCACGGACTTGTCCTTGTTAACTTTTGCAGAGGCACTTGATCACATAGATCCTGTTAGGTGTATTAAAAGTGGTTTGTAGCCATTTAAAGCCTCCCCAAGCTGATTTGTAAATTCATGAAATTGCGTACGATCTATGATAAAATGTTAAATCACAAAAGAACTCAACAGTCACAACTGTGGGTAAGATGCATTCAACATCTAAATACTTCAAGCTGAACGAAGTAACATTTGTTCATGTGAAATGCACCACACACACACACACACACACACACACACACACACACACACAATGGAGGCCTTACTGTACATCAAACTTGTCATTTTTTAAAATCTTACTTAGCAGGGGTGGATGGAAAATAATTTTATCTGTCCCGCGAAAAGGAAAAAAAAAGTTTCCCATTCAGTGATATTACAAAAGTTAATGTTTCAGACCCACTCCATTGCTTTCACAATGACAACTCTACTCAAACAGCTGCCAAGATCAATAGAAACTCCCATAGGGTCCAATCACAACACCGACAAGTGACCATGACCTGTTGTTAGAATGCGTGTATTATTTTGGTACTAACAAAATAATTGTCTGATGTGTTCAAGTGGCGTTCTCTTCTGATTGTAAGGAGACTGTTCCATACCTCGACATTTGCATACCTCTATTATGTCTTGAAATTTCTGAACGGGTTCTGGTGGGATACGTTGACAACGCTATTTCTTTTAACTTTAAATGTAGCTGACCACTGCAAGTTTTGATAAGATGCTAATAGTGCTAGCTAATAGGCGATCAGCTTTGGTTCACTGAACAACCATACATGTGCTCTTGTGTATTATAGCAGAAATAGCAGGTGTAGTGTCATCTCAAGGAGAGCATTTGTGTGTGTCAGTCTGTTGGCCTTAGGGATGTCTTATAATTTTTAAAATATTCTCTGTAAACTCATCGACATTGTGAATCATGTTTTACCGAATCTCCTCTGCATCTCTGGACTCACTGGAAATAAAACAATAGTTTTTGTTAACAACAAACCCCTCATAAATAGAAGTTGTCAGCTTGTTCTGTTTTCAGATTGTTAGGTAAAATGCTTTGTCTTAAAATTGCACTTTAAAGAAAAGAGTTTGGGGGGAAAAAAAGTCTTGTTTCGAGTTCCCTTCAAAAGTATTGCAATGACAGTTGCTTTCTTTGTGAGTTCTGAAGATATTTGGGTTTCAGGTCAAAAGTTCAATATGAGACAAACAAACTGAATTCCAGTTTTTATGTCATGGCATTTACATCTAGGTGTGTTAAACAACTCATGACATCACCTTTTCTTTGAAGCCAGCCACTTTGCAAGTGAGCAAAAGTATAGGGACAGACATTAAACCTGCTCAAACATTAAACCCAATACAATACATCCAGATTTATATAGCACTTTCACAACAACTTTACAAAACAGTTAATACAAAGTAAAATAATAAACACAGCACATAACATAAAAACACGGACAGTCGTGCAATCTCAACCACTTTTCCCTCATACGCTTTGTTGTTTGAAGCAGTTCTAGATGAAAGAGGAGTGAATCAAAGTGTCCTTTCACCAATGGATCAGAGACCTCATGCTCAAAATGTGCACACGTCGGCTGCAAGATAAGTTTGAATGTAAACAAGCAGCTGTAGCGTCCATTGAAGAAAAAAAGAGATTGGTTCACCAAAGCGAGGACCATTTAATATTTGGTGGCATATCCCTTAAAAGCAATAACTGCATCAAACCTCTGAATCATTGACACAAGCAGGAAGACAGATTCTAACCGCAAACTAAAGAACCGTGAGGAAGATCATGTGTTAACCACTAGATCACAACAAATTTATAACAAATCCTTTCTCATTATTTACCCAGTTATTACCAGGACAATTTATTGGATTATAAGCATATGTACATGTACAGACGCAATTCAAATGAAGTTGAGACGTTGTATTAAACAAATAAAAACAGAATACAATGATTTGCAAATCATGTTCAATATATATTTGATTGAATATACTACAAAGACAAGATATTTCATGTTCAAACTGATAAACTTTTTATTTTTTAGCAAATAAACACAAACTTCGATTTTTTTCAGCTGCAACACTTTCCAAAAAATATGGGACAGGCAAAAAAGACTGTAAATTGAGGAATGCTCACCCATTAAAACGGGGTTGGAACATCGCACTGATTAGCAAGCTATCTAATTTTTTGTGTTGTTGTTGTTTTGGGGGGGAGGGGTGACAATATAAAACTTTTTGTTTTTAAGCTCATTTTTGAACACATTTAAAACAGTTTGATTAGTTTCGACAAATACTGTTATCAGGGCGATTTTGTTCACTAAAATGCGATAAAAGCTGAAAGGACGTACGTGCTTCATAAATTACAGTATTTGGATCACAGCGGAACAGTTTTGGGGACCAGAGAGAGAGCACCCAAAAACCACCTTCTAACGCCAAACATGTTTGATTTTACGTATGAGCGGAAAATCGAGTCATATATCCCAGTAGCCTAAAGAGAGTAAGACGATAATGTTGAATGCATTTCGAGGCGTTACATAAAGAGTTAAAGAAGCGCGACTGCGTGCCCTCCTTTTTTCTTGCCCTGCTCGTGCAACCGGCTCAACACTCAGCAGTAGCAGGGCGGTCACGGACGACGGCTCGACGTGGAAGACGAGAATGGGAGAACAACACGTTTTATAACAATTGCTGGCCTCATGGACTCACGTTGTCACGTTTAATGAGGCAAAAAAAAAAAAAAAAACCCGACGACACGACTCGTGACTTAAAAAAAACCCGTTCCCAAAACTAGACGAAATGGACGGAGGGTTGAGCATTACATTAATATCGGTAGTAATGTTTGTCGGTTCTTTCCTACTCGGATTCATCCCTTTGTTGTTTCGACTTTCGGAGGTAAGTCGTACGCGTTTCAAAACCGCGACATTTGCTTTTGCCAGTATGTCATCAAAACAATTTGTGTCCTTATATGGCCATTTGACCGTAGAAATGTGGTTTAAGTAAAAAAAATCCGTGTGCGTGTGCGCGTGCGTGTTCCAGAGAAGCCTGCACTTGGTCTCCATCCTGGGTGCAGGTTTCTTGTGCGGAACAGCCCTTGCCATCACCGTCCCTGAAGGAGTGGGCTTAATGCAAGAGTCGTGGACACACCAAAATGGTGATCATCACATCATAGAGATGCACTCTGTTGTCATGCTTTTGTGTATATCCTTATTTTTGTAATTGGTCTTTTCTTGTAGCTTCTTTATCTGCTGGCAACGATTCTTCCAGAGAAAGTGCTTCCTCGCCTCAGCCTTGGATTGGTGTGGCTTTGACGTCTGGCTTCACCTTCATGTTTGTTGTGGATCAGCTGGCAAGTTACTTCTCGGTTTGCGGTAAGTAGACATGACATTTGCGTGCATTTGTCAAGATCCAAACTCGACTTAATCCACCTTGTAACAGTAGCAAAATATAATAATGCATCAGTGTCATGTAAATCATTGAGCAATTCACAATAGTAACAGGACAAAAACAAATCATTTAAATATAATTCATCATACTCAGCAGAGATGCTGATTATAAAAAAAATTTAAGGTAGGGATGTCCCGATCGCATTTTTTGCGCCCACGTCCAAGGAACTTGATCCCGTTCAATACCTCTGCAATACAGTGCAATGAAGAAAAAAAAGAAGACCACATCCAAATGATCGCAATTATGTTGTCTTAAGTTTTACAGGATGTATAAGTTTTGATTTTTGGGAGGAAAGGTATCCCGGGATGATAGCTGTTGATTTCGCTGTAAATCAACAGTGGTTCAAATCAATTAAAGAAGTAAAACATTTCACACTTGTCTTAAAAATTAAGCATATCTAAAATTCTGATCTTTGTCAGCCGATACCGATAAGCTGAAACTCACTTGATCGGCCCCGATTTCCAATCATGTCGATCAGATCGGGCCAGCCCTACATTTACTAATTGAACTGGACCAACCAGAGGATGGAAAAATGCGGACATCACTGTGGACCAGCTCGCTGGCCGTGTGAGGCAAGTTTAAAATCTGATTGGTTAAAGAAACAGCACGACAGATTCTTAAGAACTGTGAAGATTTGATTAACATTGCTGCACAGAAAGGCTGAAATCTGATTGTACAACTAAAATCCACATACTGGAATCAGCCCAACTGAGCAAAATGCTACAAAGTCAAGAAGACACACTGTTAGGAATATATTAAACCAACTTCATATGACGGATATACTTTTTTGTTATTCTGAGTGAAATACCTTGGTGTCAGAATGAAGATCTCTGGTCACCTATTTACATGTGACGTGGTTTTTTTTTTTTCCCGAGCCGCCGTTTACATGCTCCACTCCGATAATCAGATTAGTCCTGTTACAACCGTGTGACACGCAGAGATCGATGTAAAAACATTCGTCTATTTAGCATAGTAGTTGTGGTAGTTTTAATACTTTTATAACAACAACGTATTGATAAAAACAAGTCACGGATACTGTACTTTAAAACAAGTTTGCATGATGCTATTTTAAAGTGCATATACGACCACGTCCCTAAGCATAGACGTACGTCAACTACGCTTTACGTCAAGAGAGACCAGGCGCAGACCAGACACAGCTTGGCTTTCATTCTTTATACTCCGATTGAGGTCCATTCTAATCGGAGTGCATGGTTCCGTGCAAACCCGGCGATTGAACAAACATTAGATTTTAGGTTTTAAATATAGTTCAGTTCGTCTTGACGGGCAGAAAGACAAAGGTTGCATGTCTTCTGTCATTTCAGGAAAAACGAATCCCAACAGTGATGCCATCACAGCCACGCTGGGGCTGGTTATTCACGCCGCAGGTAGAGTAATATTAATATTAACTCCACTTCTATAAGCGTTTGTTTGCATGCGGCACACAACACATTTCAGCCCACTAGGGCAAAGGGCCATCCACAAAGCAATGAGCAGACTTCATGTGACTTACCACGTGTGCTTTATTTATTTATTTATATATATTTTTAAAGTTAAAGCCTTGCCTTAGAGCAGTGATTCCCAACTCGTGAGCTGGAAACCAAATGTAGTCAGAGTAAAACAATTACATTCTTTATGACAGCACCGACATATAATTTTTTTGAGGTCATGAACAGCACGCCATTGAAGTTGTGGTAAACTAGATATAGGCAGATATGCCATCGCGTGTGTGACTATATTTAAAAATATGATACAGTGGTACATGTATGATCACCATATTTTTGTACATATTTTCTTGGTTGCTCTAAATTATATAGCGACAGTTAAAGGTTCAATTAAATTGAAACATTACTATAGTGTGTGACTGAAATATACCAAATCAGCGTATAATGATTGTGGAGAAACACAGGATTTGGGAGAGGCATTTGTGTTTCTTTGTGTGAAGGATTACCCTGTGATTTAAGTGGCAACCAGTTCAAAGTCTGTCTTTAACTCTAAATCAGTTGGAATCAGTTCTAGCTTCCTGTGAGCTTAAACAGGAGAAGCAACATAGAACATGGATTCAGATTCAGAAAACTTGATTTATCCTGAATGGATGTGTGAAGCTATAAGGACAATAATCCTTGTCATATGTGTGTTATATTTAACACATATTTTTGATTTATGTTAAACAAGCAGTGGCTTTAGGGTATGTATAAAATGGGGACAACCTTGCACAACTGGCATTGCAAATTGGATTTGCTTTGTTTCAAAATGACCGTAGATTAACCTTATCAACAAATGCCATTATTTGTATTTAAAGTTATGGTATGCCGCTCGTGCAAGCATATGCACAGAGGCACACATGCGTACGTGCCATGATGAGCAACAGCAACAATGTACCCGAACATGAACAAAACAGAAAAATAAATTACCGGTAGATTCATGACAAGACCGAGTTTGTAACAAGGAAATAACTGCCGACCTTATTCGGAGACCTGACACAGGGAGGGAGGCATGCACTTTTGTAGCACGTTAAGTGCAGAAACAGCTCCATCATAGGTCACGTGTACCAAAATGCTGCTCCTGCCACTCCAGTGCCATGGGTGCGTTGCAGATCAAACAAACTCTGAATGAGAATAAACAAAAAGTCGAGGTATCCTAACGGCTCTGATCGAAAGCTGCAAATGCAGACTGCTGACCGCTAACAACTTCCTGTGATGCAGGTCATGCGCTACTGTTGGTTAAAGTGAACCGACTTTTTAAAATGTATTTTTTTGAATATTTTTTTGTGGATGTGACAGTTATAGGATGCTTCGTATGCAGTGTGCACTAACAAAAATATATGAATTTAATAATACGCACAAACACACGTCTCCATTTCCCCCTACGCCCACTGCGGTCGACTTGGAATCAGTCCGTGGACTGCCAGTTGACCAGGATCGACTGGTTCGGCACTCCTGGTGTAGATCCTTCTGTGGGGTGTGACATGTCGCCAGATATAAATACCGGCCCCACACCCCACTGCGTCAACAATTTTAGCAAGTGATGAACTATGTGCTGTTAATCAGGTTAATGCTCATGAGTGTATCTAGAAATACTTTGCGTGGCTCTGTTTACCTTTTAGTTTTTTACAGACTGGAGCCATCACTTGAAAGTGGAGAATTTTCCGCTGAGACTAGTTGCTGTTTAATTTCACGCTTTATATATATATATCTCCCCACAACGAACATTATGATATATACATTGCTCTTTCCCCCAAAAGTGCCCAAGATTCGGAGATCCGGCTTCTGGAAGAGGCAAACAGGCTCCGCGCCGAGCTGAGGCGGCTGCAAGCCGACTCGGAGAGAAGCGAAGAGCCCGGTTCCTCCGAGGAGCCCGCGAGTGAGGCGGGCGAGCTGAGGCAGCAGCTCCTGCGGGCGTTCGGCGAGCTGAGAGCGGCCGAGGACAGAGATTACATGACACAGCACCGGCTCAAATGGTGAGATGCGAGCACGCATGCATATGCATTCGCAACCTAAGCGGAGCCCAAGATTCCAAATTTTGACAGCGATAAGCAACTTTTTGATGCGACGGTATTGATTAACTGTGATGGGAGACGGTTATCACATCGCCGTGTTTGTGGAGCCAAACGCCACTTGCCAGTGGAATTTAACATTTCCGCCCTGTGAAGTGTTTACATGTCCGAGTGCTCTGCGCAGGCTCGGGTCTTGACGTCAGTGCCAGAGTTATTTCGGTTTCCCCTCGCTCTGGTTTCGCCCATCTCTCGCGAGCCATTTTCCTCAATTCTGCCACAGGCCTTCCCTTTTTCCTTCCTCCCAAATCCCTCAACGCCAATATCGCTGCGTCTAAAGGGGTCGGATGCACCCAGAGAAATGGAAAAGAACACTCCGGTGCTCCCCCGGAGGTCAGCGGGAGGTCACTGGAACATTGCCAGGCAACGTGATAACATTCACCGGTGCTTCCCGAACATTCAGTCCAATGACCCCTTTCAAAAGAACAAAACAAAAAAAAAAACCCTCAAGTAATATCTACTTTTTGCTTCTCTTGTTCCAGATTTTTCCAATTCACTAGTTTTCCTTTCACTTTACTTTCACCTTGGCGCAGGCTCCGGGAAGAGAAGCGGTGTCTGCTGAAGGAGAACGACATCACGGCGAAACTTGATGTAAGTTTATCGCCGCGCCCGTCACGTGGCATCGCTGGGACGTGGATTTCACCTGAGGGACGATGAATTTGAGCTGTACTTGAAGGCGTCTTTGGAAAATGTCAAAAGTGGTCAAATCTTGATGACTGTATAACGGGACTGAGATGCTTTTGTGTATATCCTTATTTTTGTAATTGGTCTTTTCTTGTAGCTTCTTTATCTGCTGGCAACGATTCTTCCAGAGAAAGTGCTTCCTCGCCTCAGCCTTGGATTGGTGTGGCTTTGACGTCTGGCTTCACCTTCATGTTTGTTGTGGATCAGCTGGCAAGTTACTTCTCGGTTTGCGGTAAGTAGACATGACATTTGCGTGCATTTGTCAAGATCCAAACTCGACTTAATCCACCTTGTAACAGTAGCAAAATATAATAATGCATCAGTGTCATGTAAATCATTGAGCAATTCACAATAGTAACAGGACAAAAACAAATCATTTAAATATAATTCATCATACTCAGCAGAGATGCTGATTATAAAAAAAATTTAAGGTAGGGATGTCCCGATCGCATTTTTTGCGCCCACGTCCAAGGAACTTGATCCCGTTCAATACCTCTGCAATACAGTGCAATGAAGAAAAAAAAGAAGACCACATCCAAATGATCGCAATTATGTTGTCTTAAGTTTTACAGGATGTATAAGTTTTGATTTTTGGGAGGAAAGGTATCCCGGGATGATAGCTGTTGATTTCGCTGTAAATCAACAGTGGTTCAAATCAATTAAAGAAGTAAAACATTTCACACTTGTCTTAAAAATTAAGCATATCTAAAATTCTGATCTTTGTCAGCCGATACCGATAAGCTGAAACTCACTTGATCGGCCCCGATTTCCAATCATGTCGATCAGATCGGGCCAGCCCTACATTTACTAATTGAACTGGACCAACCAGAGGATGGAAAAATGCGGACATCACTGTGGACCAGCTCGCTGGCCGTGTGAGGCAAGTTTAAAATCTGATTGGTTAAAGAAACAGCACGACAGATTCTTAAGAACTGTGAAGATTTGATTAACATTGCTGCACAGAAAGGCTGAAATCTGATTGTACAACTAAAATCCACATACTGGAATCAGCCCAACTGAGCAAAATGCTACAAAGTCAAGAAGACACACTGTTAGGAATATATTAAACCAACTTCATATGACGGATATACTTTTTTGTTATTCTGAGTGAAATACCTTGGTGTCAGAATGAAGATCTCTGGTCACCTATTTACATGTGACGTGGTTTTTTTTTTTTCCCGAGCCGCCGTTTACATGCTCCACTCCGATAATCAGATTAGTCCTGTTACAACCGTGTGACACGCAGAGATCGATGTAAAAACATTCGTCTATTTAGCATAGTAGTTGTGGTAGTTTTAATACTTTTATAACAACAACGTATTGATAAAAACAAGTCACGGATACTGTACTTTAAAACAAGTTTGCATGATGCTATTTTAAAGTGCATATACGACCACGTCCCTAAGCATAGACGTACGTCAACTACGCTTTACGTCAAGAGAGACCAGGCGCAGACCAGACACAGCTTGGCTTTCATTCTTTATACTCCGATTGAGGTCCATTCTAATCGGAGTGCATGGTTCCGTGCAAACCCGGCGATTGAACAAACATTAGATTTTAGGTTTTAAATATAGTTCAGTTCGTCTTGACGGGCAGAAAGACAAATGTTGCATGTCTTCTGTCATTTCAGGAAAAACGAATCCCAACAGTGATGCCATCACAGCCACGCTGGGGCTGGTTATTCACGCCGCAGGTAGAGTAATATTAATATTAACTCCACTTCTATAAGCGTTTGTTTGCATGCGGCACACAACACATTTCAGCCCACTAGGGCAAAGGGCCATCCACAAAGCAATGAGCAGACTTCATGTGACTTACCACGTGTGCTTTATTTATTTATTTATATATATTTTTAAAGTTAAAGCCTTGCCTTAGAGCAGTGATTCCCAACTCGTGAGCTGGAAACCAAATGTAGTCAGAGTAAAACAATTACATTCTTTATGACAGCACCGACATATAATTTTTTTGAGGTCATGAACAGCACGCCATTGAAGTTGTGGTAAACTAGATATAGGCAGATATGCCATCGCGTGTGTGACTATATTTAAAAATATGATACAGTGGTACATGTATGATCACCATATTTTTGTACATATTTTCTTGGTTGCTCTAAATTATATAGCGACAGTTAAAGGTTCAATTAAATTGAAACATTACTATAGTGTGTGACTGAAATATACCAAATCAGTGTATAATGATTGTGGAGAAACACAGGATTTGGGAGAGGCATTTGTGTTTCTTTGTGTGAAGGATTACCCTGTGATTTAAGTGGCAACCAGTTCAAAGTCTGTCTTTAACTCTAAATCAGTTGGAATCAGTTCTAGCTTCCTGTGAGCTTAAACAGGAGAAGCAACATAGAACATGGATTCAGATTCAGAAAACTTGATTTATCCTGAATGGATGTGTGAAGCTATAAGGACAATAATCCTTGTCATATGTGTGTTATATTTAACACATATTTTTGATTTATGTTAAACAAGCAGTGGCTTTAGGGTATGTATAAAATGGGGACAACCTTGCACAACTGGCATTGCAAATTGGATTTGCTTTGTTTCAAAATGACCGTAGATTAACCTTATCAACAAATGCCATTATTTGTATTTAAAGTTATGGTATGCCGCTCGTGCAAGCATATGCACAGAGGCACACATGCGTACGTGCCATGATGAGCAACAGCAACAATGTACCCGAACATGAACAAAACAGAAAAATAAATTACCGGTAGATTCATGACAAGACCGAGTTTGTAACAAGGAAATAACTGCCGACCTTATTCGGAGACCTGACACAGGGAGGGAGGCATGCACTTTTGTAGCACGTTAAGTGCAGAAACAGCTCCATCATAGGTCACGTGTACCAAAATGCTGCTCCTGCCACTCCAGTGCCATGGGTGCGTTGCAGATCAAACAAACTCTGAATGAGAATAAACAAAAAGTCGAGGTATCCTAACGGCTCTGATCGAAAGCTGCAAATGCAGACTGCTGACCGCTAACAACTTCCTGTGATGCAGGTCATGCGCTACTGTTGGTTAAAGTGAACCGACTTTTTAAAATGTATTTTTTTGAATATTTTTTTGTGGATGTGACAGTTATAGGATGCTTCGTATGCAGTGTGCACTAACAAAAATATATGAATTTAATAATACGCACAAACACACGTCTCCATTTCCCCCTACGCCCACTGCGGTCGACTTGGAATCAGTCCGTGGACTGCCAGTTGACCAGGATCGACTGGTTCGGCACTCCTGGTGTAGATCCTTCTGTGGGGTGTGACATGTCGCCAGATATAAATACCGGCCCCACACCCCACTGCGTCAACAATTTTAGCAAGTGATGAACTATGTGCTGTTAATCAGGTTAATGCTCATGAGTGTATCTAGAAATACTTTGCGTGGCTCTGTTTACCTTTTAGTTTTTTACAGACTGGAGCCATCACTTGAAAGTGGAGAATTTTCCGCTGAGACTAGTTGCTGTTTAATTTCACGCTTCACATTTTTTTTCTATGCAAAGTACCGTACACCCAATAAAAAGTTCATATTCCTCTTTCACAAAATTGTCTTGAAGGGCTACGGGGAAAATGCTAATCAGTTACTGTGGTGCATCTGCTGGTCATGCTCCAAATGTATGTTACGCGAACAAATATGTGCAACGTTATTCTTGCTAGGGTTTGAAGCTGGCACAAACAAAACAAAAGTAAAAAAAACTGAATTTTGGCCTTGGAGGTCAGCACCCTCTGAATATTTGCTGCTACTGTCGTGACCCGCTTGTGTTTTGCTTTGCAAATAGCTGACGGCTTCGCTCTGGGTGCAGTGGTAGCCACAGGCCAGGTGACAGTGCAAGTCATCGTGTTTTTAGCCGTGATTCTACACAAGGTGAGAATATGACGATGATGAATTATGCTGCCTTCATGACTGGTGGGAAGTTGAAGCTCGCAAGGTTAAGCTCTAAACATGGTTTCGTGAAAGTTAAAACAAACTAAAAAAAAAAAAAAAAAGATTGTTGACAACAAATAAGCTGGTGGCTTTGTTTGTGGAGAGCAGTCAAACCAGATCTTTTTTCTTTTTTTTTTTTATTACACTGGTAGCCTTGATCATTTTACCAAATAATGTCATGGAGAGATGATGTAGGTCATTGGTTATTAACCTGGGTTCACCCAAGGGGTTCGGTGAATCAGTCTCAGGGGTTCGACGGAGACTCTGCCATGGAGGTTAAGACACAACCGACCCAACATGTCATTTAGTTATGACACACCCGCTTGGCCGTCACTGGGTGCAGATGATCACATTACATTGCTTGTCCAATCAGTGCTGCACACACGTGCAGAACTGGAGACAATGAATGGCTGCACCTTCATAAAATGCATTCATAAAAATAAAGCCTATAAATGCGTGAGGTGCATGATTGTCGACTGCCATTGTTCTGTGGCGTCACCATACTGCATCTTGAGCAGTCAGGGTAGATAATTGCCTCGAGCTTCCGAGTAGGCATCTCCTTGTCAGAGATGACATATTTTCAACTTCCCACGTCTCTGGAATGCAGCATAACAAAGAACATCAACATTGTGAAGTAGCACACAAAGCCGGATGTCCACTTCAAGACCAAGTGTTCAATAACAATATCATACCCGTCAACAGTTTATCTTTGTCTTTATTTCTATGTACATTTCAAGTGACACACATCTGATCCAAACACATGAAAACAACTTGCATAGAAGGATTACCCTGTGATTTAAGTGGCAACCAGTTCAAAGTCTGTCTTTAACTCTAAATCAGTTGGAATCAGTTCTAGCTTCCTGTGAGCTTAAACAGGAGAAGCAACATAGAACATGGATTCAGATTCAGAAAACTTGATTTATCCTGAATGGATGTGTGAAGCTATAAGGACAATAATCCTTGTCATATGTGTGTTATATTTAACACATATTTTTGATTTATGTTAAACAAGCAGTGGCTTTAGGGTATGTATAAAATGGGGACAACCTTGCACAACTGGCATTGCAAATTGGATTTGCTTTGTTTCAAAATGACCGTAGATTAACCTTATCAACAAATGCCATTATTTGTATTTAAAGTTATGGTATGCCGCTCGTGCAAGCATATGCACAGAGGCACACATGCGTACGTGCCATGATGAGCAACAGCAACAATGTACCCGAACATGAACAAAACAGAAAAATAAATTACCGGTAGATTCATGACAAGACCGAGTTTGTAACAAGGAAATAACTGCCGACCTTATTCGGAGACCTGACACAGGGAGGGAGGCATGCACTTTTGTAGCACGTTAAGTGCAGAAACAGCTCCATCATAGGTCACGTGTACCAAAATGCTGCTCCTGCCACTCCAGTGCCATGGGTGCGTTGCAGATCAAACAAACTCTGAATGAGAATAAACAAAAAGTCGAGGTATCCTAACGGCTCTGATCGAAAGCTGCAAATGCAGACTGCTGACCGCTAACAACTTCCTGTGATGCAGGTCATGCGCTACTGTTGGTTAAAGTGAACCGACTTTTTAAAATGTATTTTTTTGAATATTTTTTTGTGGATGTGACAGTTATAGGATGCTTCGTATGCAGTGTGCACTAACAAAAATATATGAATTTAATAATACGCACAAACACACGTCTCCATTTCCCCCTACGCCCACTGCGGTCGACTTGGAATCAGTCCGTGGACTGCCAGTTGACCAGGATCGACTGGTTCGGCACTCCTGGTGTAGATCCTTCTGTGGGGTGTGACATGTCGCCAGATATAAATACCGGCCCCACACCCCACTGCGTCAACAATTTTAGCAAGTGATGAACTATGTGCTGTTAATCAGGTTAATGCTCATGAGTGTATCTAGAAATACTTTGCGTGGCTCTGTTTACCTTTTAGTTTTTTACAGACTGGAGCCATCACTTGAAAGTGGAGAATTTTCCGCTGAGACTAGTTGCTGTTTAATTTCACGCTTCACATTTTTTTTCTATGCAAAGTACCGTACACCCAATAAAAAGTTCATATTCCTCTTTCACAAAATTGTCTTGAAGGGCTACGGGGAAAATGCTAATCAGTTACTGTGGTGCATCTGCTGGTCATGCTCCAAATGTATGTTACGCGAACAAATATGTGCAACGTTATTCTTGCTAGGGTTTGAAGCTGGCACAAACAAAACAAAAGTAAAAAAAACTGAATTTTGGCCTTGGAGGTCAGCACCCTCTGAATATTTGCTGCTACTGTCGTGACCCGCTTGTGTTTTGCTTTGCAAATAGCTGACGGCTTCGCTCTGGGTGCAGTGGTAGCCACAGGCCAGGTGACAGTGCAAGTCATCGTGTTTTTAGCCGTGATTCTACACAAGGTGAGAATATGACGATGATGAATTATGCTGCCTTCATGACTGGTGGGAAGTTGAAGCTCGCAAGGTTAAGCTCTAAACATGGTTTCGTGAAAGTTAAAACAAACTAAAAAAAAAAAAAAAAGATTGTTGACAACAAATAAGCTGGTGGCTTTGTTTGTGGAGAGCAGTCAAACCAGATCTTTTTTCTTTTTTTTTTTTATTACACTGGTAGCCTTGATCATTTTACCAAATAATGTCATGGAGAGATGATGTAGGTCATTGGTTATTAACCTGGGTTCACCCAAGGGGTTCGGTGAATCAGTCTCAGGGGTTCGACGGAGACTCTGCCATGGAGGTTAAGACACAACCGACCCAACATGTCATTTAGTTATGACACACCCGCTTGGCCGTCACTGGGTGCAGATGATCACATTACATTGCTTGTCCAATCAGTGCTGCACACACGTGCAGAACTGGAGACAATGAATGGCTGCACCTTCATAAAATGCATTCATAAAAATAAAGCCTATAAATGCGTGAGGTGCATGATTGTCGACTGCCATTGTTCTGTGGCGTCACCATACTGCATCTTGAGCAGTCAGGGTAGATAATTGCCTCGAGCTTCCGAGTAGGCATCTCCTTGTCAGAGATGACATATTTTCAACTTCCCACGTCTCTGGAATGCAGCATAACAAAGAACATCAACATTGTGAAGTAGCACACAAAGCCGGATGTCCACTTCAAGACCAAGTGTTCAATAACAATATCATACCCGTCAACAGTTTATCTTTGTCTTTATTTCTATGTACATTTCAAGTGACACACATCTGATCCAAACACATGAAAACAACTTGCATATGAAAAACATGCGTCGACACTGTTCACATAAATAATAAACTGTGGAAATTGTAGAACTCGAAGAAAGCGACAATTTCTCACGTGCGCACTCCGAGAGAGAGTGTGTCGTGTTTTTTTTATTTGCACCACAAAAAAAACACTCGTGCCAAACGAAGCCCGCCGAAAGTAAGTTTCCATAGAAACAAGCAGACTAAAATGGCGGTCCTTAAAGGGACTGCAATTATTTCTACCCCGTTACCAAATAATCGTGAACTCTCTGACAAGCATATGAACATTGCATTCACACATTTGCAGTTGGTGGTGAATTATGTACAC